AAGAGCCACAAAGCCTATTTGTTTCATATGAGTCCAAATAATGCCCCACAACTATTAAACACAACGCAACAACAGACATGTGAGATCAAGACCTAAGTTTTCCAACACTGTCAAGTCATGTCAAGTTTGTTTGTACAGCCTAATCACAAGCCATGTCAGGATGGAGCAACATTACAGAGTCACAGTAGCCTCTGGGTTTCAAAACACTGACCGTATAAAAAACAATGGCCGTATCATGGAAAACTCTGTGGACATTTCTTCTCCATGTCTCCTTATCCCCCATCACCTCATCCTGCTATCCTCTATCAAAATAAAGGCAGAAATAAAATTCAAAAAACACAACACCTGAACTGCTCCAGCTCCTCTAATTTGCTGAGTCATAGACTTGGTGTTTTACCAGTGAATTCAGACATCAACCATGGACATGTTCATATAAGTAAGGGATCATCACTTCCATATGATATATTTAAATATTGGCTTTAGATCTGTTCACACTGTTGGTCATCTAATCTATTCTTTGTGCTATAGTTTGAAGATGAGATGCAACAAGATAAAATATATATAAATATATACTATAGGTGAAAAGGGATGAGATAACATGAGATGGAATGAGATAAATTGATGAGAGATTAAACAAGATTAAATGAAATTAGGTTTAACACGATAAAACAAAATGATGTGACATTAAATTAAACAACATAAGAAATCTTGAAACAAGATAATGTGAGACGAGACGAGCTGAAAATCAGGTGTTTTATAACAACAACTTTCTATAACTACTGTTATAGTTATAAAGTGGTGGTTGTAGTTGTGGTTGTAAATGTAATTAAACTGTACCAAAGGACCCACACTAGGCGACAAAAGACAATTTAAATTCCAATCTAAAATCTTGAGTTTTTTCTAAACTGCCTGACCCTCCATCAGATAGTGGTCACTTCAGATCTTTGCAGTAGCTCCACTAATATTGCCTCCGAGCCAGTGTCCAATTTGTTCTGAGATAATAATAACATGATTAAATTAAAATTAATATAGAAGCTCACATTACTGTAAAGTGGAAGCCGTCCTTCGCAGTGAGATGTTCAGAACTGGACACAGTCCTTGTCTGAAGATAAATTGGCTTTCTATATTGGAGGGGACGACTAAAAAAAGATGTAAATGAAACTGTAAACTGCTTATTCAGGTTTAATCAGATTAGAAATGAAGAATGTCTTCTCGAGACAGTTTAATACATTAAATACTTACTTTCTCATTGGCTGATTCATGGGAAACCGCTGTAAAAGTAAAAGTCAGAGTTGACTTTGCTTGTCTTTTGTTGTGGATTTACCTTTGTGGATATTTTGTAAGAACCATGGTTTTCCTTGTTTGGTTTTAGTTTATTACTTCCTGCTTTACTTTGTACTCACCATTGTAACTCATTTCAGAGCGTTTCACTTCCTGTCTTTGTCTGCCCTTCCCGCTTCACCCATGAGGGGACCGGGCGTAACCATATACTGTCTGGGCGTAACTCCTAACACCTGATTGTACATGATTAAACAGTTCCAAAGTTTTTGTGTGGCTTCAGTGAACACACAATTGCCCTCACCCTTTATAGCTGATGATGATTATAAAGCATTTTTATTCATGAGCTAGTTATACTCATGTTTTAAAGTTTTAAAGAGCTGCCACTTGTACATTAGCAAGGTGTTTCATCAGCTCAGGCCTCCCTTAATAAAGTATTGCATAGTGTCTGAGTGGAAGAGAAAAGCTGTGTGAGTAAAGCCTAGTTTATGCTTCTGCATCATGTCGACGCCATAAGTGTGTTTTGGTCCAGTGCAAAGAAGACAGTAGAAAATGATGGTGTTGAGATAACACGGGACATCAAGAGGGCAGGACATCCATTTTCCTCTTTATGAGCTCAAACCATTTGTCCAGGCTTGGCAGGAGTGTTGGCTTTGCTGTGACGCTCGGAGAGTGAGAGTCTGATAAATGCCTCTTACCTGGAGGAAATCCACATTAGCAATAAGTAAGCTAACATTAAGTTATGACCTCTCAGTTTCCACCTGCACTCGTTTTCCATTCTTCCCAGTAAATGTCAGGAGATACGGGGGATGCAAAACGCTTTGTTTGCTCACCGTCGCCACTGTTTTGTTTTTCCCTTGTCTCTTTAACCCTCCACCCACAACCATCCCTCACCCTGTCTGCAATAACATTCCTGACATTTTTCTGCAGGATTGCCGCAACCTCGAAAAGCAAAGATCAAGCTGAGATGGTTTGATTATTCACTCATATGTGTCCTTTTGCTTGGCATGGAGGCGGAAACAAAAGAAAATACCAGGACGTTTTTTAAATGCGTCATAGTGTAAGATGCACAGGTGCACTGTGGCTGTAATATCATGTTTGAACAGGCATGAATATCTTAACTGCATGCTCTCATTTAAAACTTCTTCGTTTTCTGAATATCTCAGTTGTTTACAGGGAAATGTCCCAGTGTCATTATGTCAAATGGGGCTTGCCAAAACATCAACATCATAAACTGAAAGTGGTACGGATACATTTTTAAAAAGTCGCTGTACAGTCGTGAGATTTCAGATTCATTTATCTGTGAAGACGATATGAAATTATCATCATAATAGCACTCATTACTCGGTGTCAGTGAATGGCTGCTTGGCTCAGTCTGCTAACATTCAGGAACAGGCCCAGGGAGTGATGAATGTTGTCAGACGAGCAATTCATTTTGGCAACCTGGGTCAGCCGAGGGAATGAATGGCACGATGGTTAGAAATGATATTACCATTTCTTTAATTTCCTGTCAATTTGAGACTTCCACAGTGTTAATATCAGAGGGACTGTTTGTTTCCTTTATGGAGACGAAGCAACAGTTTTTAAAAGAGGAAACATTTCCTCTTTTCAACAATGTTCCACGTTCTGGGATTTTTGTGGCATCCCTTCAATACCATTTGCTTGTTTGCCTCTGAATATGACGACTTTTTTTTCAAGGTCCAGCAGCCATTTTTGTTTTAATGAAAGAATGTGGGGGAACAAATCAATTCAGATTTCAAACCATTCAGTTGCTTTTCTATGTTTATGTCGTCTGCAGGACTTTGACACTCGAGCAACATCAGGGCACGCAGGATGAGGCAGATGTGTCTGTTAAGAGTTGGGCACAAGTGAACGCAATTCTGTTTCATTTCTATGCAACACTATAGGAAGACGACAAAAGGGTATGGCAGGCGATTATACTCATTTCCATCCCATCATCTGATCACTTACTACATCTCACACATAATCTGTCAGAAAACAGAGAAGGGATTTACTGATTTTTTAAGTAGAACATGTACCTCTGCCATGGCCAAAAAATCCTACACATGATTTTCTAGTTCTTATCATAGAAATATGTAAAAAGAAAAAAAGCGTTAACATAGATTATTTGTAAAAGAATATGTCCTGAACAGTGGAAACCGATGTAACAAATTACTTAATATTCTGTAAGTAAAGACGGACAACATGACAGCTCATCAAAAGTGAAGCTAAGGCCCTTTTGTTGCCCCCTGGTGGCTGGCTGCAGTGTAGGTCATAAACCCTACCTCCTCCATGTAAGTGGATAGGACATGGACCAAACTAAAAGGTCAAATAAGATGGTTTGTGCCATTTTGGTAGCTCTCATCACACTGATCAAGTGTTCATCTTTCTAGTAAGTTTGGATTTAATTAATAACTTGATGCTAAAAATCGTGAAATGTCAAGATTGACAGCTGAGGCTGACTCACAATTAGTTGAGGGCATGTAATGGCAGGACCTCCTTATGCATCTCCATCCCCCGAGCACTAGGGCAGACTCTGACTCCAAATGTGCAAGATGGTAGCTTTCATATCCAGGATATTGTAGCTTCATTTGTAGGATAGTGGGAGAAAGTGGTGTCACATCGTCCATCTTTACATACAGTCTATGCTAGTGTGGTCGAATAAGATTTTTTTTAAATCCTGGCCTTGCCCCTTAATCCAAATGCACACCAAAACTCATCGGGTTCTTTTCAGGCCCAAACTCCATCCCTTCACCAAGAGTGGTGGAAATCTGTGTAGCTGTTTTTCCATAATCCTGCTAACAAACAAACAAACACAAGTGAAAACATAGCTTCCTTATCAGAAGTAACAAAAAAGACAAAAAACTACAAACAGTACAAAGACATTTGTGTGAGGCACCAACCTGTTTTCAAAATTGGAATGATTACAGAAGCAATCACAGGACTGAGCATTGTCTGAATTCAGACTCAAATTACGTCTCCACAACAGTTTTTCTCCCTTAATTTACTAATATTTACATCTGAACCTGCAGCTGGCCAGAGAAGAACAAATTAACCTGTGAATGAATCATCATTCATCCCGAGCCAGAGAGCTCTGCTCCAATGGAATTAACATAAATCCCACAGTAATTTCAGAATAATTTAAATCTAAATAGCAAAGGGCTGAATAATAAACAAGTAATGAGAAGTAAAATTGGTCATCTGTTCACATCTTTCACTATCAGCTTCATCAACAGGCATGGCTGCATCTATTCATTCCAAACAATCATCTTTAGAGGTCAGCCTCCCTTCTCTGCAGTTAATTGTCAGTTCACACTGAATGCTTCACTTCATACTGTATTGCTCATCACTCCTGAGACTTAGAGGCCAAGTAGAAGCCTTATTAATTTATTCATGTGAGCCATCTCTTCCTTTGCTGCCATAGATGCAAATTCAGGCTTGATTGGGCCTCTAGCTGTAATTTCATGCAATGATCAGACTTCAATCTAAAAATTAAATAATGCTTATGTGTCAGTAATTTGAAGTTTATTTCCATGATAAATATATCTTAATACCAGGGACAACATATGTGGGTTATAGTGGAACTAACCAACTGGGACCTGAACATGCAGAGGTCCCTCAAGGAGCTAGTTTGTTGTTGTTTTCCTGCAATTTTAACATTATTTTCAGCTATTATTCATTATTACTAAATAAACTGCATTACCGATGATTCTTTATATCAAAAGCAATATTGGAGCCCTGAGATAATAATAATTTGGAAAAAGTCACTTGTTATCATTATTAAAAACTGTAAATTGTACCTAGCTGCTTTGTTAAGCTGGTGGATAAAGTAACTTTGCTTCATAGTCTCTAGACAGTCTCCTTATGAAGTTCTTTAAGAAGCAATTATTAGCAGTTTGCACAGATCGTTTCCATCACACATCATGTGAGAGTGGACATATAGTGACAAATGGCAATTTTTGTTTCAATACATTTTTCTAATTCTGGAAGAGAACCTGGGCCTGGCCCTCTGCATCAAACTATCATCATATAATGTTTGATGACGATCATGCAAATGTCTTTGTGTCACAGATTAATCTGACACACATTTGACTCAGAGGCTTATAAAAGGTCACTGTTGAGGAGCTAACGTCATCAAGAATGCAGGTGTTTATTCAGTTATTGGCACATGGAGGCGTCCTGCAAGCCCAGGGTTTGAGATGCCGAAGCATAGACTATATATAAAGATGGACGATATGACGGCTCTTAAAGTGAAGCCAACACATCTTTACTACCCCCTGGTGGCTGGCTGCAATATTGGTCATAAACAAAGCCTCCTCCATGTTAGCAGATGGAAAAATTTGTCAAAGTACACTTTACTTTGACTTTGACTTAAAATTTCCCAACAAGTTTATTTGATGCTAAAAACATGGGGTGAAACATCATGATTGACAGCTGAGACTGACTGGTGATTGGTTGAGCTCATGCCAAACCTACATCCCATGGCTCTATCCCCTGAGTGCTAGAACGCAAACTCTGGCTCCAATCAATGTCTTTGCTGCAGGCATTCGTATGAGGGATATTTTGTCTTAATTTCAATATAGTGGGAGGAAGTGCAGATGCGTCATCCATCTCATTATATTTCCTTGTGTCTAGTCCAGCCAGGTTCCGTTTTTACAAGTCATTCCTTATCTCTATCCAGTGCTGGCTATAATAAAGTATGACACGCAAGTTTGAGAGCGAATAAAATAGTAGGGGAGGGGGCCCCACTAAGACTACATATGCACAGGTGGAACAATTTCATGTCAGACCCCTGACAACTGGAGTTAAGGGGAACAATTATGTACACAAGACTGTAGACAGTTATATCAGCAAGGTCTTCACTTTAATCTCTATACACTTTCCTATGGCATCAAAAATAAGACTTATAATGTAGCTCTGACAAAAAAAATATTTATAATTCATTACCAGTGGTTATAAAGTCAGGAAAAAAATCCCAGAATCAGATAAATCATTTTTTGGTCAGTGCAGTGATTTAAAGAAGAATCTTAAAAGATGATCTCTCTACTGGCCTGAAAGTGTTTTTGAGAAAATGGCCCCGTCTCCTCTGTTGGGGTGCACAGCTCCACGACGCATGCAGCGTGCCAAGCTGCGGCATCACCCCACTCCTCATTAATCACACTGTATGTGACTCTGATGCATTTGGTATTCCCTTCATAAACTCTCAATGAGAGAACGATTACATATTTCTACACGGCTGGCAGCACAAGCAGCTCCCGCAAATGACTTTCTGAAACAGAGCAAATAGCAAAGCAAGTGTGTAGAGCAAACACTGTGGGGCAAACAATAAACTTCAGAGAAACTCAAGCATTGGGCTCTTGAGGACGATCAAACTGATGATTCTTGCATAGGTTTACATATTACCGATTCACTGATGCTACTCTGTTAAGTTTGCTGTGATAAAAATCTGCACCAGCAGCATGTGATGCAGCTAGGAGCCTCACTGATGCCTCAACAGTGCCACCTTTTGATCAAAGCTATTAATTGCTTCTGTTTTTTCAGAGAACACAGTGTCGAGTCTGTGGATCTCAACAGAACATAGAGCTGTTTGAGTTCAAAAGACAACAAAAAGACAGATGTCCTCATTTCACTGGCTTTCTGTACATCCTAGCGAGAAAATATCTCTCAGCCGAGTCCTTTCTGCTGGCGTTTGGCTTTAAAGTCCGAACACTCCCAAACACACTCAAGAGCTTCTCCTGAAGTCTCTGAACGAGGATCCCGTCCCAGTATTTACAAAGCAGAGAGCCCCCCGGCTGTAGAATCTTCTCAGCCAAGTCTGTCAAAGACAAACACATCATGGTGAGTCTCTCGTGGTCCATCTCTCGGATACCGCTAGCGTTTGGCGCCATGTCGCTCAGGATGACGTGAGCTCGGCCACTGGGGAGGAGCTCCCGCAGCTTGCTGTGTGTGGCGGGCTCAGTGACGTCGTGACTGGACAGGAAGTGGGCACCGTCCAGAGGAGGTATGCTGAGCAGGTCAATACCAATGACGGTACCACAAGGTAATTCTGGATCTGGGATGAAATAAAACATTTACAATTAAGATTTTTTTAGTTGAACGTGTTTGTGTTTTACTTCCACTATGTTTGTCATATGACAGGCTGAGCTACCAGGGTGGTTACAGGTACTGAAAATAAACCAAAAGACAGAAATCTGAGAATCAATTTTCACTTCCTGTACCTCAATGTTCAAACTTCATCGTTTTACATTTGCTGCAGAATTAAATCATCGAAAAACATCCAAAAGATTTTACTGATAAAACTTTACGGGAATAAAATAACCGATAATCCAGAGGAATACAGTATAGTTCTAAACAATTTCAACAGTACAAATAGACATCCTGGGAAACTGTGTACAAATAACTTCAATATTGTTTCAATTTTTAAGTTACTTATAATATTAAACTTAAATATTAGTTTGTCTTTTTAAAACATAAATAAATGCACACATGGTATGTATTTACCTCAGCTAAACAAAATACTTGATATGTAAAACATATATTGTATAAAATGAATATTCATTCTCATGTCATAATGATAGAAAATGAAACTAAATAAACTATGGAAACACAAACACCAAAACTCAATCAGTAAACTTTTAATATATCAACTTAGAAGTTACATAATTTAGGACAAAGTAATTGTTCGATTTTCCTTATTATACTGCAAAGTACTTCCTCCAGTATTGTTTATTTCCTCCTCTGTGATCACAGCCAGTAAAATGTCTTACATTTTCTTATTTTGAGCATAAAGCATTGCAAGAAGTGTGACATGTATCAGGAGTGAATATTTGAAAGTACACTCTCTGACAAAAGATATGTATACAAGTGGGAATAATAGACCAAAGCAAGATAAGATATTGAAAATGACTTTATTGATCTACACACTGGGGAATTCAGTTATTACAGCAGCAGGCAAGTCAGAATGAGGTAGACGAGATAATTATATATATGAAGGGAACTGAATAAAACATTTAAATGAAATAAAAAACGTTGAGTATGTGCATTATATAACCTTTTCACTGTAGTGGTTTGTATGAAATGTTATAAGTAAAGTGCAGTGGCACAGAATGATTGTACGAGCAAGTGAACTGTTTGTAAATGAGAAAAGAAAAAAAAAGGAAACATCAATTAGATCCACATAGAATTCAAAATGACTAACATCAACAGATGAATAAACAACACGTGTCCAGAGATTAATCATGTCTCTAGTTGATCCAGGATCATCTCCCCGGCTCCCCTCTCACCTGTCCCGGCTGAGTTGACCCTCTGGACGGCCACCTGGCTCCAGGCTCCGGGCGCAGCTCCGCAGTCCACCACGGTGTGTCCGGGCTGCAGCAGCCGGAACTTGTCGTCGATCTCCAGCAGCTTGAAGGCGCTCCTGCAGCGGAAGTTCAGTGCGTGAGAGGCCTTGACATACGGGTCTTTGAGCTGCCGGGTCAGCCAGCGCTGCTCGGCCGCACTTTTACCTTTCAGCTTCTTCATCAGACTCAGACTCGAGTGGAAACCTCTCGTCTGCAGACACACGGTCCACATTGTTGTGACTGTGAGGGGACATGTGGACCACTGCGTCCCAGTGCGCCTGCGTAAAACTACCACTCGCCATTGGTCAAGAGGAAAAGATGTGTGTACAACCTATAAAGGTCACCGTCCTACAACACAGCGACAACAATAGTTCCTACCTGTTTGTTTTACTATTGTCATAAAGTCCCCCGTAAGACGTTTTCTATTTGAATCAGTCGTACCAAGATAAATTAAAGATACAATTCTTCAGGCCATTCATTCACTTTTTCCTTTTCTGTAATACCCTTTATATAAGGTTGAGTATTTACGCCACTCTGATGGAATTATCTAAATCGTTAAAAGGACATTTTTCATTTTGTTATGTTTATAGTAAAGGGTTTATAACATATAGAATAAGATCTGTTTATGTGTCATATCTCTTTAAACAGTAGCCCACTGCGGTATAATGTGAATTCTCCTATACATTTCTATCAGGTATATATACATGTTTTAATAATTTCCTGCAGTTTTAATCCTCCTTCTTTGTTATTGCTTTTAATGCCACAACGTGGTTTGTAAATATAATGGGAGAGGTTCTGTATACAATGAATATTATTAGTTTTATTATTGTTTTTGTTGTTGTTGTTCTTATTAATTGAATATGACAGCTGCAGAAAAAGAATAAGAATTAATATTCTCCTTTAATCACGTCTTGAATCATTTTAAATGAGCAGGTATGTAAATTGAGTTTAGGAAAGTGGTTTGAATGGAGTTACAGGCCGGTATATTAACCGCCGCAGTTTCTAGTCGAACATATTCCATGGTGGCACAGAACTGATCTCTAATTGGATGGTCGTCCCTCCTCCAGTCTGACGTCGCTTAGACCGATCCACGTTCTGACGTAGCAGTGCGTCATGTGAGGACGTCCGTGGTTCTCACGCGGGAGTCGTGCAACATCCACTGACGTAACAAAACTTCTACTCACAGGAATATTCATTGTGTCTTTATCCAGTGTCTGTTTCACGCAGCCCGGTACGTTCACGCAGCCCGGAACGTTCACGCAGTTGTGATGCGGTTGAAACTGTCGATCTGGCAGCTAACGTTGCGTAAAGTTGTATTCACGTTGTGTTTACGTTTCCTCCTCAGACAGGTGGTGGGATGTTGACCCCCAAGCTGCTGACCCTGGTGCTGGTGGTGCAGCCCGGCCGGGTGCTGCTGGGCATGAAGAAGAGAGGCTTCGGGGCCGGGAAGTGGAACGGCTTCGGGGGCAAAGTTCAGCCTGGAGAGAGCGTCGAAGAGGGCGCGAGGAGGTACATCCATCCCCTGTCATTCATGGGACCAATCTGCATGTGAAGTAATCTGAAGCTGTCATCTCACCGTGTGATATTTGAATTAGCCACGAGGAGGATTGTTTGGGGAATTCTGAAAATTCACTCATCATCTACTCACCACTGTGTCGATGGAGGGGTGGGTCAAGTGTTTGAGTCCACAAAACAGTTCTGGGAGTTTCAGGTGTAAACAACGTTACAGCCAAATACAATACAATTGAAGGAAATGGTGACCAAGTCTTCAAACATAAAACAAACAATGTGGCTCCAGAGGAGAAAAACCGAGACTTTTAGGTGTGGAACATTTGGGTGACACCACAGCAGCAGCATGGAGGCATTTTATGATGAGTTTGTGTTGTGTTTTTACGTTTGAGGAAGTGGTCACCGGTTACTTTACTTGTATTGGATTTGGCTGCAATGCTGTTTACCCCTGAAACTCCAAAAGTGTTCTGTGGACTCAAACGCTTCACCCACCCCTCCATCAGTAATATTAAGTAATACAAAAATATTTATACAAGATAAAACACTCACTTTTTGCATTTGAAAATCAAACAGCGTGTATTTTAAAAGTTCCAGCGAGGCGAGTATAGTAAGTATAAAGTGGGAAAAAGTGTTTTTCAAGTTGATGTACTTTGTAGTTCAAATCTGTGATCAATCATCAGCAGGAAATTAGCTCCAAAGGCAAAGGAAGGAAGTGCTGAAGGCGAACAGACCCGTCCCTGAGCTTTCTCTCTCAGGCTTGAAAAACAAACCTGGTTTGTGGCAATTTAATTAGAATCAGAATGATCACAGTATCTCGAGATTCTTTTTTTTTTACTTTTTGGAACAAAAGCAAGAGGAAAATCTGAGAAATCCGCTTAATCAACATCCCAGTCCTGTGAATACATAAACTCCATGTTGTGACTGCTGTGTTTACTGTTAGTTTGATGAAGTAGAATTGAAAAAAAGGACCAACTGAAACCAGTAAGACAGAATTGGTTTAACTATATTTTCCATATTGTCTCTAAGAGTCAAATCTTGTGAAGTGTTTTATTATATTTCTTCTTTTACAAGAGAATGACAATGTACAAAATGGATTTTTATAACAAGTTAGATTTCTATCCCTTGATAGTTTGATAACAACATCTTGGGAATAACTGCCAATTGTTTTACTTCCTATTAAGCATCAGCATTGGCCACCACAACTCCATATTGGCCAAGCAGTAAAATACACCATGCTGGCAGATTATTGATTATTGTGTAGTTTTGTTTTGACACCAATTTTTATATGAGGAGGAAAAATAAACAATGTGGTAAAATAACCTCACAAACGCAAAGATCCACTGCACTCGAGCTTCTGGAGCTGGCAACCACATCTCTCTATCCTCATATGTGGATGAAGTTAAATCAATAGAAAGACAATTTACTCTCTGTGCTGGCTTTTCACTGGGAAACACAGATACCAACAATTCACCCTCTCTGCCTGCTTTAAGTGTGTGCTTGGAATGAGCTGTGAGCTTCTTTTTTTTTTTTTTTTGTCTGTTTTGTTGGTTAAAGCCTTGAAGAGGATCTGCTGTCGATGTGGGGCCACATACTCTGTTAGCCAAACGGGCAAACACATTGAATACAAATATGTTTTATGATTTCATTGTCAGGGAACTGCAAGAAGAAAGTGGGCTCACAGTGGACGCTCTCGAGAAGGTCGGAAACATTAAGTTTGAGTTCGTCGGAGAAACGCAGCTACTGGACGTCCACGTTTTCAGGGCGGATGCTTATAACGGAGACCCGACAGAGTCCGATGGTACGATTTCCCCCGCACCGTACGGGCTGTGGGGGGAGATTGCTGCAGGGAAACTGCATCGATCCTATGTGTCAAATTCAATTGGGTGATGTTTGTAGACAAACAGGAGAAATCAGCAGCGGACCAAAGAGTCCGGAGGGAAATACAGTTCAAACAGCCAGTGGGTGAAGAGATAAGAGGAGGAAAAAGCTTGTTAAGAGTTGAAGGAAGTTCAAGTTTGAAGACTGAAGCATTCTGGGCAAGAGCTTAAGTTAGAAAAACAAGTAATCCCACGTTTTTCCATTTATCCCCCTGGACATTATACAAAACGTTCCATCATCTCGGATACAAATGAGTGCAGGAAGACAACTCGTTTAGAAAATAACTTTGTTGTAAAGACAGTTATGCCAACATTTAAATGAATATAACATAATTTATCTATCGGGGAAAAACTAGATTGTCTATTGATTATGGATTCATATACACTTATTGGCGTTATCACTGTAATAGTAGGTCATAAAAAGTATTTAGACCTGAATTAATAATGAATGTCTCTATTTATTTAGATTTTTTCAGGTCTAATGCAACATGTGATGATTTCGGTTGTGCCCTGGGAAGTGTTTGAAGTGTTTCACAAGTGATGAACCCCAGATGATAACAGAGGTAGACTCATTATTTGTTCTTTTCTTTTGTTTTTTAGAGATGAGGCCTCAGTGGTTCGAATGTGATCAAATCCCCTTCAGTGAAATGTGGGCCGATGATATCCTGTGGTTCCCTCTGTTACTGCAGAAGAAGAAATTTGTCGGATACTTTAAGTTCCAGGGTCACGACTTGATCCTCAGCCACAGACTGGAAGAGGTGGACGAGCTCTGAGATAATGTGGCTGGTGATGACCTTGTTTATGAGTGGGACCAACAAATATCAGCTGTAAAACTTTAGATATCAAATACTGAAGATATCAAACTGTTAAATGTTCTTTTTCACTTCGTTTGTGGGAAGAAACAAGTTCCTGAATACCTCATCTTGCATGTTAAAGAGAGTTGGATCCGCCCATATGTCCAGATCTGACCTGAATCTTGATGGGTTCTGTCCTGATCCATGTCCCCCCCCCCCCAGGTATAATGGAATACAGTAATTGTGTAATCCTGCCGACAAACAACAAACCAAGAGACAGGGCTGAAAAACAAAACCCCCTGGTGGAGGTTAGAAAATAAAAATCACACCAGCAGTACACAGAGAAAATGTTTTCAGTTCTTTCATTTTATTTTTCAGGATATCCGGTTTAACATCATTCAGCAAGTTTTTTTTCTCTGATAGAATATTTACAATATCTACAATGATAATTTTATTGGGTTTTATATTCTGTGCAAGTTCATTTGTTTCCCAATACGTTCTCTGTTTCCAAAAACAAACATGTTTCATTCTGCAAAATGATTGTGCCCATGTTCTGATTTGCATATCGGCATCATTCATTTCCACACAGTCAGTTCAGGGCAGAGATAAAATCAGCTGGCGTTTCTCAACTCGTCCCTTTGACTTTCGATTTTTTTACATTTATTTTTAAATATATAATGTTCTGATAAGCTGCAGACACTCGTGTGCATCGACTGATCCTAACTGGAAAAGGAAGTCAACAATATCCAGGTTGTCTTCATTCGCATTTAAATTTGTATCTGCAACTGTGACAAACAGTCATGTATGGACCAAACATTTACTTCTAAAATTAAGATATGAGACGTTAGTTAAAGAAGTATTGACTTGTGTAAGAAATCCGCTTTATCATTGATTTCACAGATGCGTTTTTAAGTAAATTCATAAAATATATCCTTGAGGTAAATTTGTCACGTCATAGTGTTATTACTGACATATTGCTGCAAAAGTGTCATAGTTTTGATCAATGAAACTCAAATCTCTGCCCTTTGTAGCATCCTACAATTTGAGTTGAGGTTTTAAAAAAAATAGCTTATAAAATAAAAAAGGAGTCTTACATACAGTTTAAGCAAAGAAAGCCAATACTACATGAAGGTAAACAGTAAGAAATAGCACACATGCTCATAAAAATATAACGCATGCTGTTACACATCCTCATTAACTATACTCCGTATCCAAAACACATCGCTCCAAAGTTATTCAGTAAGTAGAAATTCATGAGTTTGAAAATATTCCCATCATTTAATTAAGTAAAACTTTCTGTTCCTCAATGATTCTCAACTCTCTGAGTGTATGAAATAGGTGTTTTATCAGAGGAGTTTTAAAATAACAAAGTTTATTTTGACATAGACAACGTATCCTCATCAAAGCATAAAAAGAATCATTTCAAACACTGTCGAGTTAAAGGTGATATGTTTGAAATCCCTCTTGAATGGAATGTATACTGTGTTATAGAAGATTTAGTAAGAAGGAAATACAGCTGTGCGTGACACCTGTTAGTTTTAGCTCACAGAGCGAGTTATTCTCCAGTTTCTCGTCCTCATCAGCAGCAGTGTTTCTCTTTCGCAGCTTGCTCAGGTCTCAGATGGAGCTTTTCAATCCGTTATTAGCACCAAAGAGACATCCGAGCTTCGGCTGGAGTTCATTCCACACCTCTCCCATCTGGGAAAAAAAAGGAAATAAGAATGACCTCCCTGCAGTTGAATGCCTCACGCCATCCAGTGCAGTTTCTGTCTACGTACATTTTGTTTCTAGACTCACATGAGGTCACTATGACCTCTGACCTTTTCCCTGAAGGCAGACTTGAGATATCACATTCAAGAGGCCAAAAACATGTTTTATGAGGCAACCACGACCTTGACCTTTGACCACAACTCTCAGCAGTTCAGCGTGTGAAAATGTACGCAACATTTAAAGGATTCCCTCGTTCTTAAGATAATACCTTCAAAAGAAAACAAATAGTTTTGTGAGGTCCCTGTGACCTCGACCTTTGACCTGAATATTTGTACCAAATCTGAAGAAATTCCCTCAAGGTCATGAGATATTGTTTTCACAAGAATTGGACGGACTAACATACCAACATACAAACAGATTTTAGATTTTAATGATTAAATAATAATGCATCAAATTATTTAGTGTTTGCAGGTTTACTAACTTGATAAGTAAAAAAGTGCTGAAAATGTTTCTTCAATGTTGGAGTCTGGGTGAGTCTGGAGTCCGCTCACATAAAGCCGTCAAACTAAACAAACATTCACCGTGTGACTTGTTTGATTTTATAACAGGTGAAAGTACAGGAGGAGATTCACTCTCCTGTGAAATGTAAACCAACTCAAATCCTATTAGTTCTTTTGTTGGACTTTAGAAGCCTGACTCATAACCGATTTGACCCTCCTCTGGCCTTGTTGATGCAGACGAGGCTCTGAAGAGTGATTATTTCCAGACGTGCTCACTCACCTCTCTGTGTCCTTGGACCTGGGAGTTAACAAAAGCCCCGAGAATGTGGGACGTGATGGGAAGGTAGGTGAAGATAAGCTGCGTCTCTTGATGAAGGCAGAACAGAGAGAAGTAGTTGCGCAGCTCCATGGTCTGGATGGCGTTTTCTTGCTGTTTGCAGAGTGAAAAAAATACATTATGAATTTGTAAACACTCAAATAATGATAATAATCAAAAGACAAAACAAAACTCCATCTTCCTGACACAATAAAAAAGCTAATTACTTTATTATTACTACAAGGTCTAGTGTAGATCATAAACCCTGCCTAATTCATTATAGGTAGCCCTTATCACACTGACGTTTGTTTAAGTGTAAATTTTTCTGTTAAGCTTGGTTTTATTTGGTAATTTGATGCTATACAAATGGGGTAAAGCATATCATGGTTGTCAGCTGAGACCTCGCTGCTGCAGCCCCATCCCTCAATCGCTATTGTCCAGACTCTGACTCCAAATGCACAACATGGCAATGTTCCTATCAGGGATATTATGGCTTCATTTCTGGAAAGTGGGAGGAAGTGATGACGCACTTTAATGACTAACATGACATTTTGTGCCTTTGTGTTCCACAGATCAAGAGTCCTGCTCATGTTGGTGATTCCCCTGACTTTTCTCCCAGTGGCAGCATGAGGCTTACATTTGTAGTTTTTTTGTGAAACGTCTTATCAATGGATGGACTCGCATGGAATTTGATTCAAACATTCAAATTCCCCATGGGATGAATTGGAGTTATTTCCATGATCTTCCATCATTAGTATCCATAAATAGAATGTTAGAAAACACAAGTGGTTTAATCCTGTCAGATATTAAAGGTGAGAAACACTACAAAAATAAATATACTGTGTGTATACTGGCATTCGTTGTGAACTGGTTCAATTGAATTTAAAGAGAAAATATCTTGCTGTTGATTTCACATGACAAAACTGGAAAACAGGAAATGATGTGAACATTTCTCATCTCTCCAGTTGTCACTCAACATTTTTATTTATTCTTCTCATTCCAGCATGTGGCATCTGTTTGCATGTACTGAATTTGTTTTATGACTCATGGACATGTACAAGTTACTGCTACACCACACATGATATGACCAGACTGTGTTATTTAAGGCGAGTGTATTAGTAACAGATACTTTCAAGCCAATGCAGCATCTCATTTATCAAAGTAAAGGAGTTGAAACAGAACACAATCAGTAGGGCAGCAACCTGAGAGCCGAGAAGTGTGAAACTGAAAGAGACTGATCACCTGAATGATCCGTGATTCCAGCTGCTCCACAGACGCCTGCTCTTTGGGCTGAACGGTGGTGCTCATCATCTGCCTCTTCATCATGCCGTACTTGTGCAGAGCTCTCTGGTGCTCGTGGAGCACACCTTTCTCATGGCGCTCACAGAGATCCTGTGAAGAACAGGATGAATAAACATTTCTTATCTGCCTCGAAGTGGCAAAATGTCCAAATACACGGAAAAAGCTAACAGCCAAGGAGATGGTGGGAGAATCGTTTGTACAAATGATGAAATAACCATATGTATTACAATAGACAACATTAACATGATCCACTACAAAAAATTATTCATGTCAACTGCAGCTCCTTCTTATGACTCCATCACAAAACAGGAGATTGATTTTTAGTTTTGCAGTGCTTCATACAGTACTACTACTTTCAGACATGCACCTGAACTCCAGATATTTTCCTGTAATTTTCCAGAGGGGCTGTATGTGAGAACACAAATAACCAAGTCAGTTACTTATCCAGAACATTTCCTGTCACATTTCCGAGCCTTAGTGAGCCCATGTGACAATACAGCAGGGAAATATTAGGAAAATGTACAGCGGGCGAGTGGGCGCGTTGTTCACGATTCTAACAATGGACACAAATATACAACTATCTCAGGATGAAAAAGAAGCGTCGTACACGTTGAAGATGCTGACAGAGATGTCAATTTACAGAGGGCGGGATGTGGGTGGTCTGTAAACGAAAACATGTGATTTGTGCAGCAGTATTTTACATCATGTCCTGCTTCCTGAAAGCTCTACTCAGATGCAGGCCCTCGCCTCAATGCATCGGACATTTTCCGATTGCCATGAACACGTGAGTTTAGGTATGAAAACAGCATCTAAGTGTCACTGGCCTGCGACGTCAAAAATGCAAAAATAAAATCATCTGCCATGAAAGGCTGGGCAACCCTTGAGAGAAACTTAAAATAAGCACAGCAACAAAAAAAACTGAAATGGACTCACTCTGTATGACTGCAGCAAATCGAGGAAAAGGTTCAGTTTTTCCACAACATCGTCCTCCTCCCGTCTGCCCTGAGGACATAAGCAAAACAGCGTTTATTACCCAGGGCCACGTTTCGACACACAGCAGCAGAGCAGGTGGTGAGGATGAAGGTCTGAGGGTTGTACCTGTTGAGCAGCTTTGTCAGACAGAACAGCAAACTCCACGGACAGACTCTTCAGTGACTGACGCAGCGTCCCCCACGTGCTCTGTGAGGAGGCCAAGGAGGGAAGAGGCGAAGCATCTGAGCCCAGTGTGCTGCAGAAAACAGCATTATTACAGGGACAGGATGTACCTGTAGCGTCTACACATCTTACACTAACAGCCATGAAGAGACACAACATTTCTGAATATCAACATTTGTTTTCGCAGTCCAAAACCTCTGCATACCAGAGAGCGACTTTAACTTCATAAGAATGATTATAAAGTACCTGAGCTCTCTGCCAAACATGAGTAGATCCGTGGCATTCTCCTTTGAGCGCTCTGCCATTTTCTCTGCTCTGTCCCGCAGCTTGTGGAAGCTGTTGTGGATATTTCTAATCAGCTCCCTGCTTGTTGAGAACTGAGCCTGGATGTCAGCGGGGAGATATTCCTACAGAGAAGATAAAAAAATGTAATGCAGGTTATTCTTTCAGGGGAAATGTGCAAAAACTTTATTTTTTCAACGTGCATATGTGACAAACCTTTGCAAGGGTTGCAACTTTATTGGTCATGAACTCATCACCCGTTCTCTTGTAGGCATCACGCAGCTTCGTCTGAACATCCTGGTTGGGAAAGACCCGGCGAGGGGGAAAAAAGACATTGAGTAGCTAGGACAGCAGGCATTTCAATGTCGTCACCATGGCGTTAGCGCTTATCGTGCCAAAAAAACAACATACAGAGCCACTGAAGGTGAGGAAGGTCTTAACCCGCTCGTCCTCTGAGAAGACAGGATGCCGGGCCACCAAGTTAATGAATCTGCCGAGAGCGCGTCTCCTCCCCTCAATGAACTCCCGCTCAGAGACGGAGGTCAACACTGTGGACCGACAACAAGAGATTACCAAAACTTAAGGAAATGTGCCTGATTTTTTTCAACATGATCCATGAATTATCATGGACCACAACCACTAAGAAAGTGAAAAAAAAATATCATGGAATCTGCACCAAAATGTAATGGATCATTTGCTGACCCATAATGCATCCTGCTACCAAGTTCTGTAGAAATCTGTTCCATCGTTTTTGTGAACTCTCGCTAACAAACAAACAAACCAACCAAGGAATTGTGGTGAAACCATAACCTCCTTTGTGGAGGTAACGATGCAGAAAAGATGTGCCTTTACGTTTATATCTTTAGTTTTCACATATCACTCAGTGTGATGAGAGAGAAAGAGCTCAACTGGTGGGCTGGAATATTTTTAAATGTGTCAAGGGCTTTCCATTTATTTTCATTTCCGTTTCTTTCGGGCAATTATGTTGAAGAAACAAGAAGACATTTAATTCTTATCATTCCCCAAAGAAGCTACCAGAACCCCCCCCCCCGCCCCCTGGATATTTACATGTTCTCAACTGACCTTTCAGTTAAAAAAGTAGAAATGATGAAATGAATGCAGGAACAAAGAAATGCATCAGTGATTGTGCAGATGTCAGAGCCTCAGGCAGAGAAACGTACCCCCCTTCAACATCCTTTTGGGTGGCAGCGCTGGCACCACTCTGTAAGCAAATCTCTGAAGCAGAACCTCGTGGAAGACGTCAAAATCACTGTAGCGTCTGTAAACGGATATTTTATAACGCTGAAAAACAAGAAGCAAAGAAAGAAAGACAATTATCTCTGCGGCAGTCGTCGTTCCTACGACTCAATTAAATCCAAGCATAAACGAGAAATCAGAATTTAAATGAGAAGAACAGAACTGGTGCAAAAAAAAGCAATCATCATAATTAGAGTCGTCAAAGAAAGGGTAAGTAGTTCTTCTTGGATGCCTTGCCTGGCTGGTGACCTGGTACTCCACGTGTTTGAGGAACAGGCCCTTCTTCTCAGGTATGAGCTCCACCTGCACCGTGTCTCTGACCAGCAGCTTGTCCAGCGTGTGTGACATCATCAGCGCGTCCTCCTGAGCTGGCTGCATCCTCAGTGAGCTCAGGTCCTTCGGCTCCCCAAGCTGAGGTTTCGGTAACTCTGCAGTGCGCACAACAGGGAGAAACTTATATTTGTTTTTCATGATGAAATCAATACGTATTGAATAAAAAAAGAACATTTCCCAATCGGGAGGAATGCTGCTGTTAAAACCACGTTACTCTGTTCGACAGATTAAAATGTGCCTGACTCTATTTTCATCTGGTCGGCCCTGTGCGTGTGCTCTGTTATTTATTCCTTCCTGTAAATTCCATGAGGGTTGTGACTTGAATGTAATGCGACAAATGCAGAAGACTTGTTGAGGAAGTGGCATGCAGCAAGCTGCCATACTCTGCACACCTGAAATAACAGAGAGGGCCTTAAATAATCACAGAAGGTTGAGAATGGATCAACATCAAGCCTGCATAATGGCTACCTCTATGAAAACCATAACCCCCCCCATCATCTTCCCACTGTGGGACTAGTGAAAGAATGCAACACTTAAACATAGCTAAGGCTTTTCTACCAAAATAAAAGTTTGCTACCAAAACAAAAGAAAACAAATGAAGGTGAATTAAAACAAATTGCTGTTCTTCTGCTGTGAAAGACACTAAAATTAAAAGGGTGGAAATTGCAACACAAATGTATCTCAATTCTGCCAAAGGCCCCTGTGTTGCTTTTTAACTTTTGCCACATCATGCAATATATTTAATAGAAAAACAACAGTTGATTATAGCCCTGTACGATGACCGTACAAGGAGAAGCCAAGAAGAATTACCAAGCTACTCATTAAGCAAAACCTTAACTGCCCTGCTGTCACGCTGTCTCTTACCTTGTATGCAGTTCTCCAAGAGTTTGGGGCTTGGCTGCTTCCCTTGCTGAGCCAGAGCAATCAACGCGAGCGCTTTATAGAGGGACAACTTGCTCAGGGATCCGTCCGAGGAGTCGACATGCTCTGCAATCTGAGAAGGACAAAGACAGCAAGACCCCGAAGGTCACCCGCCGTTATTCAGTCCGAAACAACAGAATTCTACTGCGGTTTGCATTCTTCTACGCGAAAAAAGTGCTCACCGGACACAAAGGGATGTGATACACTGGAAGGTCAGGAAAAGGGAAATTCCAGTGAACCACGAAGTTCTTTTACACAGGCACATGCTCAGAGCAGTTTCTCTCACATTTATATGTTGTGACATTTACTCATGTCTCATCATTAAATGAAAAGAAGACTATGAAATGTCTTCAACAGTCTACACAAAGCCAGCTTCCAGTATCTACCTTATCTACACTGAATTGCCTAATAGTAACTCAAAACCCTGCCTTATCAGAATCAAACAAATATTTGAACAGGAATGACTTCATTCATGAATGAATACAGCTCAACACTGATAAGCTCCGCTGGCTCTAAACAGGAATAAGTGGGTACAGAGAGAAGAAGGTGGACGGGATGTTTGGGATTCACCCCCATTATGGAAATTCAAGGTCTGCATATTTTAATCAAGTTGTATCAGGCCCATATCAGTTAAAGGACAAGAAGTAGAAAGTGATTCTTTCTCCAAAAGAGAAAAAGAGTATAATTCTAAACTGATGAGCTTGATATGAGACTGAACAACTCACCTGTCCTAAAACAGCCCTGGAGAGTTCGGTCCTCTGGAGCAACCGCTGGAAAACTTCGACCTGCACCCTCTCGTCCGTCCTGCAGCGGATGGCCTCATACACCTCCCTGTAGTAGGCAGGAACGGAGCCTAGGAGAGGACCAACACAATCTTCACACCACCTTTTATACAGTAGACCTAGTTGTTTTATATATATCACATGACTTAATGATTTAATCACCACAAGTAGTGCTGAGCATTATGGCCAGACAATGATAATAAAAATGGGTGGATACTGACAACTATCAAAATAAATGTCACATTATATTGTGATAATAATGGAGAGTGTCCCAGTATTCTAGAGTTTTGCTCTGATACCAAACTAAACCAAACTTGTGATCAAGAATGGTTGCACATTCCACTTTATCTTTTAGGATTTAGTTAATGCATGTATTTGTGGCATTGTATTGTATTATTAGATTTTTACAATGTATTTTAATCCTGGTTTATTTACTTGTTTGTTTGTTTTTTTAAATTAATGAGCCGTATTGTTTAATCATGGTTTATTTACATATGTTATTTGAATCTATTATTTTGATTAATCTGCCATAGTGTTTTAATAGTGAGTTATTTACCAGGGGATTTTATTTCTTTCTTTTTTATCAACCGTAGTGTTTTTGACTTGTTTTTTGGGGGTTGTGTGTGTGTTTTTTGTATTGTCCTTAGTATATACATAATGGGATATTACTTAATTTGTTTGTTTTTGTATTAACCAAACATAGTGTTTCAATAATGGGTTTGTTGTACAGTTAGTTTGATGATATGCATAAAGCACAAGAATTATCCATAGATATTTGTAGTTATACAAGATATTCTATTTATTTCAAGCTGCCTTGTAACAACTGGCTATAGGATCTATACGGATGAGAATTAGCCCATACAGCTAACTCTGGCTCATTTACAATATTTTTGTTGTTGTTGATTAATAAGAACAAACGAGTTCTCCTACATTGAACACATTCAGGGACATATACAGGATTACAGCTTCAGAACATGACAACAGCCTCAGAGTTATACACTAGTGTCTAAGATGAATGTGATAGATCTGTGTTCATTTGAGTGCAGGCCTGGTGATGTGCTGCCTCTGTGCTGAGGTAACCAGCTGACAGTTTTCACGTGGCAAGAAAAAAAAACCATGAAATCTTCCATAAACCTTGAACACCTCTGACATGATCCCTAACAGCAACATGCACTGCTGCTGGTGTAAGGAGAACATCACGAGCTCATTTAAAACCACTTCAACGACTCGCGAGCGCTTCACAGATGGAGCAACTTCGTTCCGATCTTCATGTACCCAAAAGTTCCCATTGGTCAGTTCACGGCGAACACACGAGTCCACGCGTGGAACGCGTCTAAATCCACATTTCTCGGTTCCCTGACACTGTAACAACAACACTACGAACATAAACACCAACGTGACGCGTAAAACTCCGCGTTCGAAAGAGTGAGAGGACGGTTTTGACGCACTGTACCTTCATTGATCTCTCCTGCCATGGCTCCGAGTGTCATGTGAGCGCAAGAGCACCGCCATGTGATTTCCTGGAGAAAAGAAAAAAAAAAAAAAAAAAAAAAAAAAAAAAAAAAACAAGTAACTTATTTCTTAAAGTTGTAGTGAGCGCTGGGTAAAGTCCAAGTTTATATAAAGTGACGCTCACATGCACATCACTGCTGTGTATCAGCAGACATTAGTAAACTTTGTACTGGGGACGGTCTGGAGCGCAAGCTTCTGTTTATACCCCTGCTGCTCTGATGATAATGATAAAATAAAACATGTAAAAACACTTATAATAAAAACAAAAAGGATCATAATAATGATAACGATTAAAGACAATATGATACAAATTCCAAATATATATTGATGTAATACTAATACATTATGTAAAAATGTTAGAACATGTGTTTAAAATTCAATCACTGAAACCCAGAATAACATCCTCTTTTTTTTACACACAGTCAAAACCCCCAATAGCTTTATCACTAGAAAAACTAGCAACTGTTTAAAATCCTGGTACCAGAGAATATTTGGCAGTTTTTGCTTTTGAAGATGACCTAAGCAGTTATCAAACATGTCGATCAATTAATCACATTGAATGTATTCAATTTAATAACTGTAATCGTCTATCTGTCTATCTAATCTGTATTAACTGAGCTCTGAACATCTTTTTTTTCTCATTATGCACCTGCAACATGGAATAACAGAACAACCTGAAGCTCAACCCATTTTGATCCTATTTAAGTATTTAATCTTGCCTTATTTTACCTCCTGCTGTTCTACTTTACTTTAGTTCTGTCCTTGTGTTGCCTTGGTTATTGTGAAACACTTTGTAACTATGGTTACAAAGTTACTTGAAAGGTGCTGCAGAAAGAACGTTTATAACCATTAGTTTATTATAACGAATCAATCAGCTGCTGCAGCAGAGAACTGATAAGATTATTTGTGCCCTGAGATGATGAAGGTCCATTTACAGTAAGAGCTCATAAAATGGCCCCTTAGGTTAATGCAGTCTGTGTTCACCACTTAATGTTCACTGTTGCAGCAGCATTTTCAACTCTGGCTGACAGTAACTGGGCCGCCTCTGGGTGGCGCTGCCGTGTTGTTTATTTGCCGGTGAGGTGGGCTGAGTGAGGCCGGGCAGAGCTCGCTGCCTGCGGGGTTAACGTCTTGAGCAGCCGCCGCCGCGTTGGCTCCACAGTCTCCCTTGCGCTGCACTTGGAACTGGGTGGAGGGTTTAACTCGGAGCGGCTTGTTTGAGCTGCGGGCGTGAACCTAGACTGCAGCACACGGGCTGAGGGATTAGCAGCTAACCAACAAAGAACCAGAACACAGGATGTGAACGTAAACAAACCTCAGACAGAGCTGCAGAATGTCCGGAGGAACAAAAGAGACTTCTGCCTGTACGAGCCGCCGCGGACACAACTAACCAGCGGCTACACCGGCTAACGTTAGCGGAGTTAACGCTAGCTTCACCCCGGTACGTGTAACCAGCTTTAATGGTGGTTTAGTCATTTTTACCCAATCTTAAATTGGCCCCGACAGTAAAGAGATGCACGGCTAACATCACAGCAACATCCCCACTGGTGGTGACACAACTCTACATCAAGTTTACTGGTTAACAAGCTAACTAGCTTGGCTAAGCCTCGGGTCGCTGGGATTACAGCTAACTACTAGCTGGTGTCATGTTAGCAAACAGTCGTGCTGCTTTTACTTTGCGGATTTGTTGCAATTTAGTTGGATAATTTACTGTCACTTTTATAAATAACACCCCGGCTTTTCTGTGTATGTTTACCTCGAGCTAGTTTCTCATTCTAGACGAGCACTAATGTTTATGTTCTCCTGTTTTCATCCCGGATGCAGACAGACTTTATGAGGTAGACTCTCCCGCATCCTCGCTTGTAAAGTCTCCTTGACACTCACTCGTCATGGCTGCGGTGGTCAGCTACTCTCCACCATGGTGGGTGAAACTGCTGCACAGGCTCCCACATTTCAACCTCAGGTTCGAGCAAACCAGCGGCGATTTCCAACCGGAGGACTGGACATATCAACAGGTAAGGCGACACCACTGACCGATCCGAGATGCTGTGGTTCCCAGGCAGCCTGCAGACACCCACCCACCGTCATTTATTTTGTTTCATGATCAGTTTCACTGTCCACCGCAAGGTGCAGGGTGTGATGGTGGTGGTGTGGACACATGATCAGCTTTCTCATTGAGGCCATGACCTGTTCCCACCTGTTGTCCTCCTTCACCTTTTGATCCATGTCGCCATCTGTGTGTGGCTGTTCTATCCATGTCCTGACCTCTCTGCCAGAGACCCGTCAGCTGCCATTGCGCAGTGTGAGCCAAGCCACCTCACTTTATTTCCCTTAAGATGCAATCAGTCAATAAGCAGCATGTCTTATACCACATACTGAGCTTTTAGACTCTTAAGTGCCTTGCCATTTAAAAGAAAAAAAAGGCAGCCTTATGTTCTCAGATTAAAGTGGTTAAACTGGTGGTAAGGCGACTACACAGCCTGGAGAACAGCTAAGACTGGGGGGGAGGGGAGCTCAGTAAGCAGTTGCCCACATGGTTAATATTAAAGAGAGTCTCTGAATTTAGGTCAAGTGATATTTGGTTTTCTCATTGCAATGGGGTCATTCAGTGTCACATCATCACACTTTTGGGCTGCACCGTCACAGATTAAATTAAAATTAGCCATGTTGATTTGGTCATATGAGAAACCAAGGAACTGAAAATGAATGCGTCTCGGATCCTACGGACCTAAGGGACATGGGCTCACCGAGTTTGAACCTTTTTTGGGCAGTAGCTTTGACTGGCCGTATCCCATATTTGGAGTAAAAGGTTCTCATATTACTTTGAGGCTATTTTCCAGCTCCATATTTATCTTAACAGTAGGTTATCACCAATACGGAAAAAAATAATTCAAAGAGCAGAAAAAGTTCAAACTTCGTTAGCCCATAACTACCTTAATTGTGATTTGAGATGCACAACATTTTGGTCTTGTGGGTCAGCACGCCAAATTTCATTAACATCTGTAATGGAGCTGAAGTGTGATGATCGACACAGACTCACCCAGTGTTTCTTTCCAAGTGTGTAATCCCTTACTCACTTATCCTGATGCAGTTTGTTTCTGTGAACCCATGGTTGGTTTGCAGTTTACAATTCTCAGTACAGAGACTGAGTATGCAAATACATTTTTTATTATTATTATCTGTAACAGCATTTACTTAAGGTTACATTACCTTCTATTTGGTTTAATGCTCAACAAGGAAATCATTTTAACATCTGTTGAAGCCTTGTTGGGTAATACTTAAATTCTGTTGAGACACCTGATTCACCTGATCAGTTAAACTTAATCCCTTGTCTGGTAAGGTTGGGAGTTTGTCATAGTCATAATAAAGAGCTAATAATTTACCGACATCTTAGTTAATTTAACAATGAACTTTGTTTACGTTGTTCTTTTTTGGAAACGTATCATTGCCAAATCCTCCCATGGTGTATTGGTTTTTGAAAGACTCTGAGATAGACAAGTTAATGTGTGTGCTTTGGAGAGACTGCTGAGGGCATGCGGAATCAGGATAGATTGAGGGAAGCTTTTAACAGAAGTTGAAAAACTGCCAGAGAGGTTTTTTCAGTGTTAGCAAGTTATAACTCTTTCCCCTTTTGTGATTCAGAGAATCCAGAAGTGAAACCTGTCAGTTCGTTGGAAATGGTAACTGAGAACAGTCATGGTCTTCGGCTGTGGTCATGTCTGGTGTTTATGTAGACATGTGTTTATAAGCTTATATAAAACCTACGTAGACATATGTGATTTAAAATGAAAGTTATCTAAGTGGTTGCATAGATAATAGTATAAACATTCTTGCTTCACTTGGACAGACTTAGGAGTCATTTATTTAATTGATTCACTATTTAGTGAATGCTTGGACAGATGGGTGCTGAACAAGACAATACAAGCATTTTAATGAACTGTATTCTTAACCTGATGTGGCACTGGAGACTATTTGCTAAAAAAAAAACATCATTGTACCTGCTTACTGTTGCTTATGATTCGAGCCTTTTCCCTGTAGAACACAGGAAGGGTTCATTGACTTGGTAGTGGTTGCAACTGTGTGTGTGTACAGAAGCTGAATACAAACAACATCCCTCTTACAATGTGGTTATTCAGAGGAAACTGAATGCATTAGATTAAACCATATTGCACATTGTATTAAGACAAGCTACTAATTCAAACAATAAACCGCATTATCTCACTTCCTTGACACATTTATCGCAACAAGAGCAACATAAAAGACGTCATCATTAGGCTGCCTCGCTAAACCGTAATTATTAGCCAACTGCGATGACAGGCTGTTTATTATTGTCGATGCAGTGCTCTCACTCAGGCTTCAGGGGAAGTCTCGACATGTCCAGATGGCTGAACTGTGAGCGGTGTTCGCTACGGCGCTCCGTCACTATGATGCACAGATGATGTGAGGAAGTGATGCACCAGAAGTAACATGGAGTAGGAGTATAGACTCTTCCTCCTGTGGTGCTGTTGCACTCAGTGAACCCTGTTAAGCTGAACTAAGCAGAACAACATGCAGGAGCTGAGTCACTCAATGGCTTTTGTGTCTTATGAGTCTGTGGTCTGCATCTCTGTCGACCCTAAACAAGATTTGCACACGGAAAAAGTCTCAACAAATATTTTGTTGCCCAGACTTTATGCTTTTGTCTTCAGGTGTTCACTGACAAAGTTGAGTTCAAACACTGGCATGAAAAAGTGGTCAAGCCACTGCATCAGGGCGCCTCCATCACTCCACCTAGAAATCTTACAAACCAGATAAACAAGATGTAGCTGCCATCCTAAATATCACCCAGTTCAAACAGACAATAAAATACTGTATACCAGTTTTGAATCTTGAAATAAGTAATTGTATTGCATATACTTTGTTGAGAAAATCAAACAATTAGAACCTCACTGGATTTTTCCCAAAACAAAGGGGGCAGGATGGAAACCCAGAATCCTCAGGAGTTTACAGTGAGCACAGCCCTCTGTGTGACCTACATAGGAAGAGCTGGCTGAGAGGTGCAACTATCACTGTATATTTCTCGACTGCTCGCTTTCGAAATTCTAACCATTGTGTTGAGTGATGACGACAATGCTTACTTGTACCAGTCTTGTTTTGCTGGGAGCATTTGCCTCTTTAATTTTTTCACCCAGCATTTTGTAATCCTCTTTCACTTAAAAGAAGCCTTTCATTGTGGTTATTTTCAGTTGTGTCTAGATGAAGTCTACAATTATCCTTGTATTTATTTTGCTTAAATGAACAGGCTGTTCTGTACCACTTCTGTACTTCATCAAAATCAAAAGCAGCCTTTAATTTTCTTTTAGTATCGTAGAGAATGATGAAATCTGATCTAATATATATATTTTGTCCTGGGTACTTGTGCACATAATATAACTTCAATTTTATTTAGGATAAAGGGTACGACAGCTCTAATAAGTTCCTTTGTTGCACAGTATGTATTTATTTTTTAAACTTGTGATGCTGCTACAGCCGTAACAGATGCACACACATTAACAAAGTCTCACACAGCAAAGAATGCAAATCTTAAGCATGTGAGGCAACGTGTTTCAGTTCTTCAAACCAATTGTGTGATGATTCTCTGTGGGAAACTTGGGGAGTCCATTAACCTCACTGTTATTGACGTGAAAGTGGTATTGGCAGTGGATTTTCCATCAAGCTCTTCTTCTGTCCCATCAGTCCATCCTGTTATTGGGAGGTGTGGCGCTCGCCTGTCTGGCCCTGGACCTCCTGTTTCTGCTCTTCTACTCCATTTGGCTGTGCTGCCGGCGAACCAGAAATGTGGAGCAGCCCAAGGCTGACTGCTGCTGCACGGCCTGGTGTGTTATCATTGCAACACTTGTCTGCAGGTGAGTGTAACTGTGGGATGACACTGGTGAGGACTCAGTGTTTTGGGATCCTCAAGATCAGTTATTCATGTTGTTCATTCAACACAGGGTCATAATTCTTTTAATCCTGAAATTGAAAAGGTATTTAAGAATATCAGATATGGTAAATGGTCTGTATTTAAATAGGGTCTAGTGCATTACAAAGTGCCGATCACACTCACTCTCACATTCATGCAGTGCATCTACAGTATGTGCAGCACTTTCTCTATCACACGTCACTCACACAGCGGCAATCTTGTACTCAGAGTGGATTAGCCAGGGATTTAACCACCGACCTTGTGGTTAGTGGATGACCTGCTCTACCTTCTGAGTCACAGCTGCCCCTAACTAGCATCCCTCAATATAGTGCAGTTTTCAGAGTCTGTATTTGCTGATGAGTGTTAGGCCTCAACAGAGGAGTGGCAGGAGAGGGGAGCTAGATAGAATGAACTTGCAGTAGTCAAGAAGAGAAGAAGGCAACCAGATCTCAGGAGTAAATCATCTCTAAGATAAAATAAGGATATAACATAATTAGAAAGGTAATAAAGGCGCATATTGTCAGAATTTTCTGCATGTGGCATTTCTCTTTGTTTGCGATTGCTACTTTGCATTCACACTTTATTGCTACCTTGCATCCACACACCCACACACCCACAGACAAAGATACAGGAAGAGGCAGGGCATCCGCCAACGACTGACAGTCTTTGCTGAGTGTTTACATTGTGTCGTTAGCTGCAAAAAGCTACACATTCAGAGAGAACCCGCCTGACAACAGCCTGCCTTTCTGTATCCACAAGACACAGAAACCAAACAACAATAAGCTTGTAATTATGTCCAGTCCCTTCTTTGTTATTACATAAAAAGACAACATGAAAAGTTGGAAAAAGACAAAGCTTTACCACAAAACATGATCTCAACTCAAATGTTAGTTAAACAGCTTCTCATCAGAAATTTAGACAAACTGAAGCATCTAAGGTAGAAGTAACATCCAGACTAAGGTTATTAATATCTGTGTTTTTAAAGACAACGTGTTATAGGACTACTGGGGGAATGTGCTGTATACATTGGCTTCATTGTTACGATTTTGTTATTTTTATTTTTTAAAGTCTGTATTGTGCGAACTGAACCATCTGGACATGCTTTCTCTCCTTGTACACTGCATTTGTTTCCTGTTTTCCTCCTCCTGTTGATGGGCCACCGGAGAGCCATCACGGGTGATTCAGGGAAGCACAAAGAGCTCAGGGACCTGATGAGTACAAGAACTGCATTACAATCTCTGTATCAGAGTGTGTGTGTGTGTGTGTGCTCGTACCCACGCACAAATGTGTTCTAGTAAAGGCAAGTAAAATGAAGTTGGAGAGATCAGACAACTCTCTGTTTTGCTTTTGTTCTTTGACGGTGTCAAAGCTCTGCACCTCTTTTAAAGATATTATCTGCAAGTGCTTTCCTGTTTTTGCATTGTTATTTTCTACCATATATGAGCAGTATAGTTTCCACAGGTGCACTTCTCAGCAGGGAGCTTGGTTTTTATTTTTGTTGTGACACTGCTCCTGTTCTTCACACTGCAGAGTGTGAGAGGAAGAGATTAGCAGCCGTCCAGGAAGGGGAAACCCAACTGATGGCTGGCTGAACGCTGTTAGAATGATTCTCTTATCATCGTCCCACTTGATAAAATCCACTCTGGCTTCAGCTGGACCGTAGCAAAAAAGCCCAACAGCTGCACCACAGGAAGAGATATCGTCACTGAGCCTTCTGTCTTCAAATTGTTTCTCAGAGCACAGAAAGGGAGTTTATTTTCACACACCAAGCCATATTACTGCTAATAGCTGCTACTCCTCCCCAGTACATACAGATAAAAGATTGACAAAAGAAAGCAAATAAATTTTATAGTACAGTGCAAATAATTTTCCTGTTGATATACCTATTGAAACTGTTTCCTGTGCAGTCGCCAGAACTGTTTTCCTGCAACCTGAGGCCTGTCTGTGCAAATGGGAGCTGATCTCCTGCCTCAGTGCAGCCTTTGTCAGCCATAGTGTGGGGTTTGGGGCATAGCTGGTCCATTCCTCTGTGTTTCCATGGTTCTGTATGGAGTCTTTCTGCTGCAGCTGAATGGAGCCTGTTGACTGGGGTCTGAGCCGACAGGGTTAATGGAGAGTTCACACGCTTCTCTCGCCGCCTCGCTGTCCCCCACGCTCGCTCTCATCTCTGTCTCCGCTCTGTGTCCTTTTTAGCTAATCCCTCCTCCTCACCACCCTGTCTCCCCTCCCTTCCTTTTGTCTCCCCTCAGCGCTGGCATTGCTGTCGGTTTCTATGGGAACGGCGAGACTTGTGATGGAGTGAATCGGCTGACGTATTCCCTGCGCCATGCTAACCGCACAATCACTGGAGTGCAGAAGCTGGTATGGCCCGATAGCACAAATTATACCAAAGTGTTTAATAATTCATCATCACACTGCCATGAGCGATCCTGGTTTCTCTAGCACCAAAGCTCTGTAGTGAATCCCCGTTTCCTCTCTGTGCTCAATCATGATGTTTCTTTGTGTGTGATGATTATAGGTATATGACAGTACATCCTCACTGAACCAAACAGTAGACGACAATCTGCAACAGCTTGAGGGCCAGTATGCGCAGCATGCGGACTACCTGTCCATCGTCCAAAAGCTGCAAGGCCAGCTGGATGAGCTGGTCAGACAGATGGTGGAGATTCCCTTCTGGGACAACACTAACATCTCCCTTGAGGAGTTGGCCGTCAACATTGAGCTGTATGATTGGTACAGGTAGGTCTGTAATAGTGAACAAAGAGGGTCATGCAGAATAGTACAGGCTCAGGCTACATGAGATGCACTTTATGAATGCAAAATGGAGGTAACTAGTCCAAATGAATCTGCAATTTTTCTAGGGGATCAATGATGTGTTATTCTTAATGTAATGCAATAACATTTTGACACAAAAAAAACATTTTGTGGCGTCAATCTCAGACTTTGTTTTGAACAACATTAACAAAATTGAGCTCTGTTGAGAGATGTTTAGCTGTGCTGCTCTCAGCTGCGTGTTGTTAATGACATTTGTCTTCACAGGTGGCTGGGCTACATAGGCCTGCTACTGTTCGACATCCTCATCTGCCTCTTGGTGCTGTTTGGCCTCATTCGCAACTCCAAGGGAACACTTATAGGGTGAGTCTAATCACAAGATCACGGCCACAGGAGCTCTAAAGGGAAAAATTATTATGCTTTGGGAAATAATCTTTTCTCTTGTCACTGAGTCAATGGCAATTGCTGTTCACAAAACCCCCTACTCATCAGAGCCACGTTGTCAATACAGTTTAGTCAGGATGAATTCATGCCCTGTCAAATATCAGCCCAATATTATTTTGTTAAGGCACCAGCTTCACATCGTTTTAATTAATTTAGTCCTATTAATTATAAAGACACTTTGTGCATAATTCCACAGGTTTTATGTGATTTTATTGGTAAATGCTTTTATTTTTAATTTAAAATAATGTTTTTACTTCAGTTAAGTCTTCTAAAATGACATTACTATTAACCCACCCTAAAGCTTAGTCACGTGCATTTCCAATGAGTTTTCTCCTTTGATGGCAAAAGGCTTCTCTATGCTAATTAGTAAACACACAGTTAAGTTGCACAAAGTATGCTACACATGCAGTAATAACATCTTTCATTTACTTTTTTATTTTCAGCATTGGTTAATCTTATTTTCAGCTGTGAGGGAATCAGTTGTTTTTTTGTAATCCACACTCCCATTGGTTTTCCTGCACATCAGTATTTAACTCCATTTAACTTTAAACAATGAATGTAAGTACCATGAGACCACACAGCTTCTATCTGTGCCTCTCCTTCTATTCTTGCTGTAGATTGACAATTATTTCCATTATCATTTAATCAGCATCATTATTTTTCTCAAGTAATGGATGAATTGATTGGTCTAAACAAATTTAGAAAATATTGAAAACACTAACTGGAACCAATACATTTTGTTTGTTCTTTTTATCGATTAGTTAATTAACAGAAAATGAGTTAACTACTCGCTAAATCAACTAAATCATTGCACCTTTACACTGCACAATTTGACCCCCGAATGTATATTAATTCCATGTTTTTACTTACAAAACTCATTGGTGATAAAACACCATGCTGAAACCAGGTTAATTAGCTTAACCGCATCTGCTTGTACATGTAACTGACAATGTTAAAAATGCTTACACCTCACACCTCCTCTCTCTCTCTCCCCAGGGTGTGTTTGTTTGGCGTAGTGGCTCTGGTTATCAGCTGGGTCTCCTTGGGGATGGAATTAGCCCTCTCTGCGGTAAGTGTCCCCATCCAAGCATAATGCTGTTTTCCAGGTAGAACTGCACAGTTCATTGCATATAATTGGATAACTAAGCCGATGATTACAAAATCTGGCCTTGGAGGGGAATTTTGGTGATGGTGTCTGTGGTGATTAAAACCTGTGATCACAAGCAAAACCAGGGGTATTAGCTCTTTAGCAATAACATTGCAAACCTTGTTCTCAGAGCAGCATAAATCCATGAGGTCTGCATAATGTTTATTTATTGTTTTATTCAAACAGGCATTTTTATGTTTATTCCCCAAGACAATGAAAAATGTTTATGAATCTACATCAGATTTTTATGTGGAGGATTTTCCTCCTCTGAAGATGAATCACACCTCACATTTAGATGAGCTTAATTGAGTTGAGACACAGTCAACCTGTCCCACAGATAAAACTGTTTTTAAAGGTGTGAACATCTATGCATCAAAGATTAGCCAGGATTTTAATGTTGTGTCTGTGACGCTATTTCACTTTGTTGTTGTGAACGTAAAGTAAGAACTGTCTTTGTTTTTCTAGACTTCAAGTGACTTCTGTGTTGCTCCTGACACGTATGTCACAAAAGTGGCAGACCAGTACGGAGTCGTCAATCAAGGTATGAATAATGAACATAAGTGGCATTCACGTGCGTGTTGTAAAGAGAGGGTTTTATTATTCAGTCAGTAAGCTTTTATAATGATGAGTATTTTCCTCTCTAATTGTAGAGGCGTGCTATTGTGCAGCAGTGAGACGACTTTGTTATAAAGAGTGGGGCTTGGTCTTGTCCACAGACCATAAAGAGCCTGTAAATTTACTGCAGCAGGGTCAAGAGAGCAATAGGCTGCCCTTTAAACAGAATAGGAGGCTCTCTGTGGCGTCTCATTTTAGTAATTGTCCAATCTGTCCCATGATGGGATGCGTAAGAGGGAAAACATCGTGCCTCGGTTTGTGTGTGAAGCAGAGTGTATGAGGGAGATAAGAGCAGCAGAGGGGAGGATCAGAGACAGCACATTTCCTGCATCCCTCTTGAGTTAATGGAAAACAACAAATTTGAAGATAATGTTTAATAAAAACACATCCTCAGAATTTGTCTTTTACTCCTCTTCTGCTAAAATATGGTGACTTCTGAGTGCACAATCCAAGCTTGTGGGCAGAAGTCAGGACATCAGCTGTAAATCCTCTGAACCATGAGCACCATCTCATTCCACGCAGTGTATTATTCAGCAGCAATGAAAATTGCCCTGGGGCTGCTTCATGCAGTATGGTATTATTTCCCCCCTCTGAAACACATGTTAACTAGTTGGCAGTTCATATAAATCTTTATTTAGTTCAATGTATGCATTTAGTCTCTTATATAGATTTTGACCAGTTTATTAAGATCCACGTATTTTACATTTGCCTCCAAAAAAATCCGTAATCCTCAGTTGTTTGTGAAATTTTTGAGACGCATCTCTGAAAAATGATGCAGATATTAACCAAGACATGGAATTTATATTGTCTTTATTCAGAGGCCAGTCTCACTCTACATGTGCTTATTCAGATTAGTTGACATTTGGTGCCAGCAGTTCCTTATGCTTGGGAAACAATTGATAAAACAGAAGAACCCTCCTGTCTTGTTCACTGCCTTGTAGCTGAAGTCTTGTGGTTTCATCCCTGAGTCATAAGCAGAACAAATTTTTCATTTTTTGCTACAGGGAACAGTGGCAAAAAAGTAAAAGAATTGACACCAGGCAGCACAAAAACTAACCCCAGTCCCATGACCAGGCATCAATTATTTCCATCCTTTACCAAAAGCCAGACTCCAGGAAATCAGCTCTTCCTGACATTAACATGTGTGGGCGGACGTATGAGAGCTGGACCGACAGCCGCTTGCTTTATATGTACTTTCCTGCACCGGAAATTCTCCTCTCATGCTCAGCTGTGTGGGAAAAAAGCTCCCGATACAGCACTTGTGTGTTTGCGGACACTGCTGTACAGCTTTTGAGTCAAACATATAAAGGATTGCTCATCGACTCCTACACACTGCTGTGCTTTAGGAGAAATCATTTAAGTGCACAGTATTAGTGTGTGAAAGTCCAAAAACTAGTTTACTGTTAACAGCACACAAGTTTGGTCTTGTTGTAATTCCACAATTCCTCCAGAGATGACGTAACCGCTCTTTGTGATGTAACGCAGGAGGCTCGGTGCAGCAAGTGAGGGTTATGTCCGAGCCTCTCCATGGCTGCATGTTCTGTTGTCGTTGCTTCAAGAGAAAAACACATTAATTCATTCATACTGTTACAGCACCTTTTGAACTTTATTCTCTTGGAACATTTCCCCCTCCGAGCTCAGGATTAGCTCAGCGGGTGCACAGTTACAGCAGCAGTCATGCTCTGACGCGGCAGCAGGCAACGCGAAAAGACAGAAGTAGAAAATATAATGGAAACGTTTCTATTGGCCTCTTTCAGAGAACAAAACAGAAATAGCAGAAGCACAGTGCAGAATTAATAGACATTATGTTTTCTTATTGCAGCTATAAACAAAGAAGTAGGACCTGAATCTGCAGCTCCCCATCAGCTTTACAGAGCTTTATATTGAGTTTCAGATCCTTATTTGGCTGTCTGACTGTGCACTGCCTGCTCAGACAAAGGTAGCAACTAGCTGAATAACATAATCAAGCATTTAGGAGCTATTTTTGAAGGAAATATTTCAAGGTGTCCATTTCTTCCAACCTCTATTTGCTGCTTGTCATTGTTATATATGACTGTAGGTTAAAGGTTTGGACTTTTGTTTAAATTGTTCCAAGCAAGATATGATAGGGATTTTTTCGCTTTTCAAAATTTATACAAAACATTGAGCAGATTATTTGATATAGTGAGAATAATTTTTAAATGCAGCCTGTGTTTTTTATGTGGTTTAACTAATTCATTCTGTCCTGTTCTTACTGTCCTTTCACTCACAGAAATCCTGCAGTACTACCTTAGTTGCAGTCTGGAAAAGAACAATCCATTCCAGCAGGTTTGTAGCTCACAATACTCACATCTCAATATTACGGACATATTCACTGCATGACGCATGATCTTCTAACTGGTGAGAATTCAAGTGGGCATATTGAGTCACTTCCATTGCCTCAAAGAAGGACTTCTTTCCTTGTGTGACAGTACAATACTTCCCATTCTGCCATAAGGAAAAGTGGTGCAGAGCAGCATTTCCTGTGAGTCTGTGCTGATAGCATGTGCCTGCTCTGTTAGTGATGTTTATACTAAAGTAGAGTTTCCCTTTTACAATGGCTCTATATGTTACTTTAATGGACTACTTACATTTTACCTTCAAGCTGCATGAATAAATCAAAACGTTTGAGTGCCACTGAAGCCAAGGCGTCTATTGTTAGTGCAGAAAAAGAAGCTCTATATAGTTAGTCTTTCAGCTCAGGTCTATAAACTGTCGGCATGCCTCCACGAGATCTCCACTTGACTACAAAGGGAGGCAGCAACTGAAGGCTCTTGGTAGTGATAAAAAATGAAAACAGTATTGAGATGTGGTGCGCTGCTATATTTATATTTATTTTCATTTCAGAAGCTTTCAGGCGGTCACAAAGCATTAGTGGAGATGCAGGACGATGTGTCCGAACTGCTGCGCTCTGCCACCGGAGAATACAAACAAACTAAGGTACGTTTCCAGCCCCTGAATCAGTACACTCTACTAGAAATAGCACATTACAGGGTATCTGCTAGCACCTCCCACCCCCACGCCACAAGCTGTCCCTTTACTATTGTACCATTTGTGATGACAGAATATCTTAGTGAATGGGACCAAACCACTGACCTGCAGAGAAGTGAAGTGCACCTGTCCTCATACAGATCTGCTGACTGCCCACCTTGGACGTGCATTATGTCCTTTTAGCTGCATTAGGCTTTCACTGGCCCCTTGTCAATGCAGCACTGCGGTATTGTCCAGCACTAGTCCTTGCACTGTGTTGACAGAGGCACAAATGAGAGCTGACATTGGGAATAGAGAGAGGCATATTTCACATACCCACACAGAGAAATGTGCTGATGCTGTGGAAATGCTTTCTTCAGATAATCAGACATAATTTCTGCTGAAACAGAGAGATTAATATGCATCACACATGGAAATCTGGTTTTTCTGCTGGAGCTGCTGTGTCCTGTTGTATATTAATGAAAGAAAAGTCCCAGAGAAACGCGTGTAGAATCAATAATTAATCACTGTTCACCTGCTTCTGTTTTCCAGTTTTTCCCGTCATTATTTCATTCTTGACTTTTAATAAGCACGAGTAGGGAACTGCCACTTAATCTGCTTTCAGACATGGATAATCCCCTGAAATTATCCAGAGGGACTGTTTGTGAGACTGTCTCTCCCTCCAGCCCCCTAACATCAAATGCAAAACTGAAAAAAAGAATACAAATACCTCAGGATGAAAAAGAAAAGAGATGCCATGCATGTAGAAGATGTGAACTTAGAGAGACAATGAGATCCGAAAGCTTTTGGTGACAAGGGCTGATGGCCGTGTTGATGTGCTGGAAACACATTATCTCTGCAGTGGATTATATACATTATGTCCTGCTCCCTCCATGTTCAACCCAGACGCCACCCCTCAATTTTTCTTTTTGACCAGAGACTCTCCTGCTCCTTTCTTCATATGTGAAAGACAAAGTCCAGAAACCATTATTTTAGAGTTCTTGTCTAAAAACAGCTTTATTGTAACTGCATTTTTGTAACTTAGACCATGAGTGTTGTTCAAGTGAATGCTTTTCATTCTCCCAATATTGTCATTATGTTTGGTCATCGCATTCAAGTATCCAAGCCTGTTTCAATAGAGCTTGTTTTCCTCGTTTTCTTCCAGGAAAGTTTGGACGAGATTCAGGGGATACTGAACACCACAGAGATCAGCCTGCATCAGCTCACTGCACTGGTGGACTGTCGCAGCCTGCACATGGTGAGCATGGAGGAGAAGACTTACAAGAGAAGACTGGAGGGTCACTTCGTGTTTGATTGGGGGCGAAAAGAGAACCTGGGGATTGATTTGTTGCGACACCTTTGTAGTCCAGAATAGTTGCATGAGGCAGCCACCCTTTCATTCTTGTGCAGTTGACTACACCTGTCACCATAGATAACATTTTCCTTCCTGTCTGCAAGTTCTTGTCCCAACTGATGCTGGCAGTGTATCATTTATGAAGCAAGCTGAATGATAAATACTTGGCCATGACTGTGCTGGGGAGGATTGTCCCTCAGGGATTTCCAAATTCCAAGTGCACATGTGCAACTGGAGCTCTTTCATGTTGCTCCCTCTTCAACTCTTTCATCATGCTAGGATTTGTTAATCCTTGAAAAATTAGGAGTATCTTCAGTAGAATATGAAATGTGTTTCTGCTGTGCAGCACATGCAGAACAGAGATTCTCAGTCATGATAAGGTGCAGCGTAGGGCTTCTTTCGAAACCGAGGTAAAACTGCACTGTCTTCCAACTGTGAGCTCATTGGTTTGACCTAGTTTGAATGAGAAATCACAGCAGATGCATTTTAAAGACCCAATCAATGCACTTTTTAAAGACATTTTTGTTATTGCTCTTTCCTTAAATTACACTGATCTGTTTATGGATGCCATAATGAAATCTGTGCTTGTTGCAGGACTATGTCCAGGCCATGACAGGTCTGTGTTACGACGGACTGGAAGGCCTCATCTACCTCGTGCTCTTCTCCTTCATCACTGCTCTCATGTTCAGCTCGATTGTTTGCAGTGTGCCTCACACCTGGCGGACCAAGAGGTAAGGCATCCACTGCGGTCATACAGTACACACTCCCCTTCAACCCACAACCACAGAGCAGGCTACATAAAAGCTTTTAAGCTGACTTTGTTTGGTGGACTGTGTATGCAGTCAGAAATAATTCAAGAGGTTAAGCCCATCAATTAATTATGGTTTCAGAGCATTTTTTTTAACTCTTTTGTTTTTTACACGGTACAAGAACGAAGCTGACAAAGAAAATCGCTCTATACAGATAAGAAAACATGAATATTCTTGTGTTTGTTTGCTGTTCAAAGCCCGTCTGTGTTTACCACTGCGACAAGTCCTGAAGGCTCCAGCTGCTTCCTCAAATAGATTACTTCCTGTTATCCCCCCTAATTGTACAGAGTTGGAGTTGAGCTGGTGTCGTGCACAGCAGCAGCGGAGGGGTGAAATCAGAATGATTTCTTTGTCCTATCAGCAGCAGAGAAGAGTTTCAGGATGGCTACAACTAGAGCACAGCTGTCAGCTCAGCACCACCACATAATTAGCTGATCCCTCCTTACGATGGGGGGGGGGCTTGTTGATCGGTTTGATCTCAGCTGGAGCTTCCTGTTATAAAGCGAAGACTTTCACGCTACCAGCCTGTTCTCCTCAGTGGTTGCTGCTCAGCTTGTTCTGTTGTACTGATCCATTCAAGCAAATTTATTTTACCCCATTTGGAATTACAGCTTCAAATGGAAAGTTGATTTATGTTTTATATTGAACATTATCTATTATATATCTAGTTGAATTAATATCATTAATTCATTCATTATTTTCTTCAGGTTTATGCTGCTCTATATGCTGTAATCTGTTTAAGATGCTATTTTATGATGTCACAGGTTTGGTATGCAGGAAATAGCCTGTGCATGCCCTGGCCACTAGAGGGAGACAGGTTCCATGATGCCAGTGTCATTGTTCTATACATTATTATGTGATACACACTACTGAGCCTCAGAGTGTGAAGAGAAGCAAGTGGAATCACATGATTTTTGCAGAACTGGTTCACTGCCTGACAGAAAGCAAATGCATTTAGTGTGAAGATACAAAATTGGCACTTTTAATTTTCCTGTAGAAACTGAACCAATTACAGAGTCTATTTTTACAGCCTTTGTTCAGTCCCATTAGGGTCAGTGGAAAATTGCACCCTCTTTGCTTCAAACAGCAAGGAATCAACTTGTTTTCTCTCCCTCAGGTTTTGGAAATTGAATCAAAAGTTACGTTGAATAAACACTAAAACTCGACCACGTGGCATCTTTAATGCTCCTTTTGTCGTTGGTCAGGAAGGACAGGGGTTCCCTCTGCTGGTGGTGGTATTGAAGTTTTTTTGTCTCGCAGGAGCGAGGACGACAGTGAAGATGAGTCTCTGAGCCACGGAGGAAGGCAGAACAATGATAACCTGTACCGGGTCCACATGCCCAGCCTGTACAGCTGTGGCAGCAGCTATGGCAGTGAGACCTCCATCCCTGCGGCCGCCCACACCGTCAGCAACGCACCTGTTACAGAGTACATGTAAGTCACCACTGTTCACACTGCTGGGAATTTGAACAGGGAGGATCACTAAGAGAAAAGCAGAAGTGGATGTGTTCTGCTTAAAGAGACAGATATAAATGTTTCACACCTGAAAGTCTGGGTCCAGGTTCATGTCTTTGTTACATTGTTTACGAAGCCTAAGCCCAGTGCTAGGGACAGTGACGGAGGGGATTCCCCTTGTTTCTGGAATGTGGAGAGTTTCATGTACAGTATATTGTTTCACATCTGTAAAGCAACACGTAGGGATTTGACGCTGTACTTGTGTGCATGTTGTCGTTTGATCTCACTGTGTGTTTGATTCAACAGGGCTCAGAACGCTAGCTTCCAGAACTCTCGCTGTGAAAACACGCCTCTGATTGGACGAGAGTCCCCCCCCCCCTCGGTAAGTGTTGTGTTCCCTGCATAAACACAAGAGCTGTCGGAGCACCTCTGGGTCATTTGGCAGCTTTAAGTGAGGGACTATCTGTCTGCCCTTCTTGATGGACTAAATATTCTAGTAACTGTGGAACCAGAGGAACTAAATGGCGTGTAAGCAAATGTTTGATTTGGATTTAATGATCCAATCAAAAGGATCTCTGCTAAACATCGTGTGAAAGACACTGAAACTCTCCCAGCACTCCCAGCTCTGTACTTGACCTTTTTTATTGAAGAGGTCGGTAAAACAAAAATGAGTTTCCCTTCATGGATCAGTAACGTGACCATGTGCTCTGTCTTTTACGTGACACAAGTGCACTTTTTTTTGACAACCTCCTATGATTGGTCTTTTTTCCTTAGTTACTGTTTTTCTACATGAACTTTGCCTGATGAGAATCTGAGGACAGAAACATCATTAGCAAAGAAAGTTCAAGTGATGAACAGTGTCCAAGTCCAGAGTTTTTGATCCTCTGCAGCTGTCTCCTTATGTTGTGCAAGAACAGTTTTTGACAGGTTGACACAGTTTCGCAGATGTTAGAATGATGTTAGAGAATTTACAAGGAGCCAAATTCAGTTTTTCCCTCCTGCCCCCACCTCCGGCCTGAACCTCTACCAGACATCCTGCTCTCCCTGGTGTCTGTGTCTGCTTGGACCTAGACGCTGCTTTGTGTTACATCTCTATACTCTTTTCTTGTCGTGTTGTTTTTTTTTCCTGCGAATCCATACAGTTGTATTTGACTGCCGCCGACAGTAACAGCGGTCACTGCTGGCAGTTAAAGCCTTCGGAGAGTTCAAGATCGTTTTGGTAACCTCGTCTGCTATGCTAACAGGTACAAAACATGCCCGTCCCCTCCACCCGCTGACCTGCTCCTCCTCCCAAACCCCCCCCCCCAGCTCGACCTCCCCCTCTGCTCAGGTCTCACCCGGCCCCGCTGAATCACCCATGCCCCCACTCCCCCCCCTCTGTCCTGACTCCCGTCCCACCTGCTGTCTCACCTGATGTTTGTTTTTTGGCCCCGGGCTGCATGTTTCCCCACACCCCCTGAACCACAGATGTATTGGGAGGAACATGGGATGCTGTAATTCTGCCCCGAGGCTCACTGATCTACGATGAGTCATCGCGAAGTTATGAAGCCGTTGAACCGTCTCACCGGTCACATGGGACTGCTTTGTTTTTTAGGATTCACACATTGGGTGTGTAATTGGGAGAATACCACTTGAAGTGACACTTCTTTGTATGACCTCACAAGGTTTAAGAGTCACCAGGTTGTATCTCTTCGTGCTTATTTTCCTTATAGTTTACTGGCAATGTATTTGGTGAGATAACTATAAACACACCTACATTCCCTGAAGTATAATGGTAACTATTTAAAAACTTATGGACGGACCATTTAATTTAAAGTTGCAGTGGAGGTGCCCTGGTTGTCTGGATCTCATCTGAGAGGAGGCTCACTGTGTCCCACTTTGAAACCTCGAGTCGTTAATACAGATTTAGACTGTTGAGAATTAGCATGTTGTTCAGGTGAACGTCTAACGTTGTTTCCTTTGACATCTGAAGTAAATCATGTTGATAAATTCAGAGGAATATTCAACATCCTAAGCAAAAACTGCTACTGAAGGATGATGGTAACATGAAAAGTCCAACATGGTTTTTCCACATGAGTTTGAAATGCAGCCTTTTTGTGTTTGTGTCGCCTGTATTCCACAAATGCATGGGTGCATCCTAAATATAAATGAATGAGCGACCCCGCCGATGTGCACGAAGGTTGATGAAAACCAAAAAGTGAAATAAATGGAACCAGGGTTGGAGTTTCTTTATTCAGCTCAACTCCTTGTTCTCTGCTTTCCTCGTCCTCTTTAGCTGTTGCTGTGATGTTCTCTCTGTATTTGATGGTTTTTGATCCCTGTAGATTCCAGTTCTCAGGAGTTAGTGTGGAAGGTAATCTGTGTAGGATTTTCTCTGATCTGTGAAATCGTGCTCTGTTATGCATTTGTCCAATCTGTATATTCATTATTTTATTTACCCGACGGATTTTCTTCTAACTTCTGACAGATACATTTTAAAAGGCTTTAAAACCAGTTTCAGTTCAAATCCTACACAGAATCTGTTTTGTTTGACTTTTACCCTTTGTGTTCTACTTGTACTTCTCACATTTTGAGCCATAAAGAGTGAAATTGTGATTCTAATTTGTTCCTATGTGTCATTTTCTGTTTCTTCCCCACAGTACACCTCCAGCATGCGGGCAAAGTACCTGGCCAACAGCCGACCAGAGCCGAACACCCCTCCAGCGAACTAGACCACACTGGACTTTGTGCCCTGGTGTCTCGAAAGTCACATTCAGTCACTTATCCAGTCAGTCAGGGTTTTTTTTTTTTTTTTTTTTTTTCCTCAGTCACTCCACCCCCTGCTTTTCCTCCACTGTTACTGTCTCACTCAACTTGAAACGGAAAACCAAATGTGCTATTGCTGATTGGTTGAAGTAAAACGTGCCGGACGTGACATCAGAGCTCATCTCTCCAGTTTCCACAATCTTCATGGGATATTATCTTCACTCTGATTTGACGGAGCCTGGACTGACGTTTACACTTTTTTTTCTCCTTTACAACATGACATTGTACAGCGTCACATCTAACAAAGCTTTGCAGTGTTGAGGACTCTGGAAGTGCTCACTGACTAACACTGATTACTTCTAGTTGTTTTTGTTAAGTACTGTACCATAGCCTCTCTCCCCCCCTCAGCGGGAGAGGGAGGAAGATGCCTTACACGTAATTACGGGAGGAATCGACGGATTTCTCTCTACCTGAAGTAGATATCTTTTCTTGCATTATTACACATTTAACAAAATATCGAACTGTCGTAGTGTAGATTCATTTCACAGCGCAACATCACAGTTGCTCAGGTTTCGTGGATCTTGAAATGCAAATCTGATAATTTGCATTGTTTTCCTGTAGATTTCATGTGCGCACATCGGCTTGTTTTTCGCGTTGCGTCTTAAATCTGACGTCTGGGACCAGTTTTCCTGCAGCATTGCACGTCGAACAAGTCTTTTTGTCTTCTCGGGACACTGTTATTTCCTGTGGCTTTTCTTTTTTTTAGAAATAATGTACATTTATAAGCCACTTTTCCAAAGCAGTGACAACACTGTAACTCGTGAAGCTGTGAACTTTGACGCTCAGAGGATTTGATAAGGACAAAGATGAAAGGAGTTCAATAGTGAAGAGAAGTTTTTATACTACTGGATCAGAAATGTCTTCTTTTTTTTTTTACTGACGATGGTGAAGCCCTGGAATTCAGAGGAGTGTGTGATGTCTTCTTCAATATTACTCCGGACTTTTTAAGATCTTTTTGCGGTGCCCTCTCTTCACCAGACTGCTTGTAATCCTCTCCACTTTTCTGCAAAGTTGTAAAGCTTCTTTTCCCTCAACATGGCCGGGAATTACATACACACATTCTTGAGACCGTCTGGTAGAGAAAGCCACTCACTGATCGTCCCAACATTAAGTCTTAATGCACATTTTGGTGAAAATATTCCAGCTTCTGAAGAAGAGACACTCTTGTGCATTGTCATTCCAGTGTCTCACAAATGTGTTTTAGCATTTATACAGTAGAAAAGGGCGAGTGGATGCTGTGAAGAGTTGCCATGAGTCCGCTCTCTTATATAAACTGGAAGTTGTTCCTGTTGAAGCATGACGATCCACGTGGAATGAGATGTTTGTACCTCCGATGCTTCAACTTGCTTTTCTCTTCGATGTGCTTTTGTGACCAGTACAAGAGGTGATTTCATTTTTTGAGATTGTGCCATCTGAAGCACAACCCTTAAACTCTGAATATCTTTTTTTTTTTTTTTTTGATGTCTTTAGGCCTGTTTGTAACGATGAAAGCTCAAATGAGAAAACGAGCCTGATGTTTTTTCTCCATACATTTATGCTCTGCAAGACTTTTACTACACTGATGCAATCCTTGTGTTTTTCGTAGTGGTCATATTCTATTTGTTGTTTGTTATGCAAAGCTGTTGTACAGGTTGTGGACATTTACAAAATGAAGAAAAAAAAAGTACTGAAATTGACTTTTCTTTTTAATTTCTTAAAGCTTATTTTACATTTTTTTAAATATTCGTGATTGATTTGCTCTTAGAGGTTTTTTTTATTTCATTTTAGAATCTGTAGCAAGCACAATGTGTTGCTTCATTAATGTGAATACAGTAAATAGATTTTCAATTTTTTTTATTGAGGTTTTATTTCTGGTAAAAAAATAAAGTCACTAGGGGTGTAATCATTTTTTTATTCCGTACATCTTGTTTGCTGTCTCTAAAATGTGTACATGTAAAACCTGTGGTCATTCTGAGCTTGAATGCTGTGTTTTAAAATTAAACAAACTTTAACTGTAGACTCCCCCCCCCCCCCTTTGGATTCTTTCCTGTTATAGAGAAGCTGGTGTCAACAGCCAGACCACGAACAGACACTAGGTGGCGGCAAAACTTCACTGTGTCCAGAGGTTTAATGGTACTGGTCATTTTACCAACATTACCTTTTACTGAATCTTACCAAAGCTCAGCTCTCTGTGAGAGAAGCAATACAACATACAAACTCACGATAACCATAGCATGTGATATAGTACAATTATACATAGAAAGGTTTTAACTCATTTAAACAAATGGTCTTTTTTTTACTTCATACAGGAGTTTGTAAAGTACATTTAATGCCAAAGAGGATTTTTTTTGTTGCCTGTAGTATATTAACTTTATAAAGTACATTTCATCTGCAGATCTTAAATATCTTGAAAATATTTCCAACGTTTCAATTTCCTTAAAAAATATCTTTAAAAGTCACATTTCAGTTTACAAAGGTTTAAAATAAAATAGAACCAGTCATCTGGTGGATCAATAAGATGTTCCTTAGTGTTTTAGTTCTCATCCAGCCGACCACTCATCCATCTATCTTTCACTCATGACATGTTGTGTTGAGTATGAACTTGAGCACAGTTGCATGGTAAGAGGGAGAATATGTGACTTGTATGTCTCTGGTGTCTTAAAGTCTGACTTCAAATGAACGATAATGTTGCTCTGTAACTGCTGGATGTGAGAATGAGCTACAGTTTGCAAACAGAGTCAAGATATATCAGTTGTGAGTTAAATACTTGTTTTTTCAAGTCGCAACATACAATTCTGTTATTTCAGGTTTTTAAGCTGAAAACATACATATTAACTGTCTCTATATCTTTTTGTGTGACTGTGATGACTCCCCCCTTCAACGTTCACGAGACTGAAGACATGATTTCTGAAGAAAGCTGTATTCCTCCTGCAGATTTCCTGTGTATATCAGTATTTATTCCTGACAGACCGCAGGCCTGCAGGCCTGTGAGCGGAGCAGAAAAGCAGTCTTGTGTTTCTGACCCCTCTGGGCCGACAGCAGACGAGAGGTCAGTGTCAGCACCGGGCCACCAGTCTGGCTTTGTCAGCTTGCTTCATAGCGGCAGCTGCTGTCTCCCCGAACACTGACTTCTCGTGAGGAGGACTGGTGACTGGGTCCAGATATGAAAAGATCTCATCTGTCTTCACATATTTGGAAATTTCAAATGCTTCACTGATCTTTCACCATTATTCATTATTCCTTTTGTAGCACACGTAACAAACTCAGGCCACTAAAATATAAAATATTTTGGGGCAGTATGTTCTCTGCTTTTTGTCTTTTTTTCTCTACAGATGAATATAGAGACTCCATCATCTCCTGCACTCCCTGCTGTTTACTGGGGGGGTTTCAAGGGGCTGAACTGAACAAAGCAGTAAACAAACAAAGCATGACGGAGTTTTTTTGTTTTTCTTTATAACCCGTCATACACGCAGACCCAGAGATGCAAATTAAATTTCACACGGCCCTCACTGTCGGGGAAATTGAATTACCCTGCTTGTTGCTGGACCGGAGGAATGCGTCTCTAATGCTTTGAGGTGAGGGAGCTGAATGGTGAGGGAGGGAGGGAGGGAGGGCCTGCACCCTCTGAACCCCCCTTCCTCCCCATCCTCTTCCCCTCAAGGACACTTCCTGAGTGTGGCCGGGCTCTCTGCCATGTGGTCTTTCTAACTCCGTCCTCTCGGTGCCAGGCAGCTGCCAGGACACACACGAGAGGGTTCAGGCTGCACAAGTCCAGACGTCCATTTAAAAAATGCACCTGTACGAGCTCCTCTGTGTGTGTGTGAGTGTGAGTCCGTTCTATAGTTCACACTGTGTTTGGTAAAACTCTGGTATCAAACATTCAGAAAATGATGGAACAGAACATAAACTTGAGGTTTCGCATGTTTTCAGCAGGAAATCATTTCTACGCCACAGCACTGACGGCTTTTTTCCAAAACATGCCATTTTAAGATTGTTCGCCGGCCTCCCTGGCTGCATGAGAGTTTCCATTTGTTCAAGAGCATGATGAAAATAACACAACTCACAGTGGACATTACTCGATCAGATCTGGTGGAACGATCAATAACTGTACATGGCTGATTGTTAAACCAATGATTTAAAATTGTTTTTGTCCTGCATTTAATAAAAAAGTTGCAGTTGAGCTGTTGCGTTGTTTAGTCCTGTGGTTACCAACCTAGGGGTCGGGGCCCTTCAAGGGTCACCAGAGAGATGTGAGGGGCCATGAGACGAATAATGGGGAAGACAGAAGACAAAACTAAGTTCTGACACATACATAACATATATTTGTACTTTTTTGGATCTTTTTAGTGAAATATTGGACATTGGAGTTCAGTGCACGTCTGAAAGCAGCATAATAAACATCTGAAATGTGAGAAGGGCCCTAACTAAGCACTGCTTTGTTGTATATATTTTGTACAGCTGTCAAATTAACATTTTGGAGCAGAAACTAAATACGAGCTCTGCTACTTGCATCCGCTTCATCATGTTCACTTCACCTCTCGTTTCCCTGCACATCATGGTGACGCTGCAGGATGGATGAGGCCGTTTTCCTGTTTTCTGGAGGGAGTCCTGCTTCTTTGTTGCTCTTAAAGGGAGTCAAAGGAAACAGGGTCCCTGGTTTGTCTCTTTTGTGGCTCAGGGGGAGGCAGCTGTGTGTCCTGGGAGTTGGCGCTCGCGTTATTCACACCTCACCTCCTCCTTTGTACACCTCACCCGCACCAGTCAGAGGGAGCACGTAGGCAGAGAAGGATTTACGGAGCTGTCTGGTTCTCCCCCCCCCCCTGCTCACTGAGATGCTTCATGACTTTCTAAAAGCCCTTCCCTTTCCTCCCTATTCTTTCAACGTTGTCCTAAGTCGTCTGAGTGAAGAACTTATTCATGATCCAGTGCTTCACTGCCACTTTTAAAATGAACCACATGAACTCAGCTCACAGCCACGAAACGTGTGCATCGTTATTTCCAAGGTTACGTAAAAAGATTCAGAAACACAATTCAAGCACAGGAGAGAAGCAGCTGTCCTCCGGCTGCCTTATGTTCACAGAGGTGATGAGTTATCACTCTCTGACGTTGTTCAGCATCATTTGCATCCTGATTTGCATTTGTGCAAAGCTCTCTGATTCAGTTATTGTAGCTTTAGTGTCACAATAAATGTTAGTCACAGTTATCTGACTGTTTAAATCACCAACACTGTTTTTCATGTTGTCAATCTATACCATTTTACGTTCGTGTTTTTTTAAATTTTGGCCTGTTTGACAGTTAATGGCTGCTTGTCAGTGTAATGATGAGACAACAGATCCTTTGACCATCGTTTTTACTTTATAAAAGATCATTACTCTGCTGAATCGTTCTGTTCTTGGGTGCATGTCATATTTCAGAAGTCTTTTGTTGTGAAAGGCAGTTTGAACATTTACAGACTGAAATAAAAAGTTGCTGAGATTAACACTTTTCTTGAAATGATCAATGTTGTTTTTTTCATTTTGCGAGTTGGAGCATGAAGAACATTACACAACAGATTGTGGAGTTTCTACCAGTGAAATTATCATTGAATGACTTGAATGTATAATAGAAAAAAAACCTGTTTATGCCCCTTTTGGCAAAAAGTGTTGATATAAAAGAACAAATGTTGGACTGCTGACGACCCGTTTATCATTTCAATGCAGAATAAAGACATTAAAGGGTTTATAACAAACTTCTAAGCAGGTTTCAGACTTTAACTTTAAAAATTTGAACTCCTATGAATGATCCATGATTTGATGCTGGTATATAAAATAATTATGCCAATTAATAAAACACATCTTCAATTATATGACATACAGCATGTGTTTATAGGAGAAATTATTGCTGTGAGTTATAAGAAACATCTAAACACTCTTAAGTCTGTTTGTAACTACTATTGTATTGTATTTCAAAGAATTTGGTTCATTTTATATAGTGATTATCTATGTTAAATGTGTGTGAAAGTTAAACGTAGTGCAGAATGACTCTTGCAAAAATGTGTTTATTCATTGCAGATGTGAAACAGATGTGAATATTTGGATAAAAACTAATATGCAGAATGAAACTTCAGTGCATCTTTTAACTAAGGAGGAAAACAACAGCTCCTGCTCGGCTGGAGGCAGAAATACTCGTCCTCCTTCAAATTCCTCAAATCCACCACTCAAGTGCTGCTTACTACAAAGTTCAAGTCCTTTTATAGTGGGGTTATGTGATACCTGGATTATGGTAAACTCCCACTTGGCGTGTCCTCAGAGCACACGTAGCGGAGGATTAAGGCCTGTGCCAGTTGCTGTGAGATCTCTCTGCAGGCCAGCGGAGCTTGTCCCGCCGCTGCTAATCCTGCAGACAATGCGGCCTGTTAATTGGAGACTGACTGATATAGCAGAGGAGAGTCATGAAGACAATGTGCGAGTGGCCAGCGTCTCTGTAATCCCATGCACTCTGAGGAATGTCCCTCTGTGGCAGCCGTCCACCCTGCGCCACATCCGCTCCCACTCCTCTGCTCCCTCTGTGGGGTCTGACGGTCAGACGTGCTGCTGTGTTCCTGAGACAAACAGTGATTTAACAAGTGTTGTGAAATTTCACATCTTCCACTCAGTGCAGTGATGGGAGGTGTGAGAACGCTCACCCTGGTGTTTGTGTTTTAATCAGCAGGGAACAAACAATTAACAGATTTAAGAGTGTGTCCTGTCAGTCCACCATCAGACGGGGACGAGGCTTAAATCATGTTGTTGTTGAAAACCTGTGAGGCCTCGATATCCCGTGTTTGTGAAATTTAAAAATCAACTTTTTAAAATGAAAAATATTGAACTCCAGAAAGTTATGAATAAAAAAAAAATTCTACGAATGATTCACACTTTACGTAAGTTTGTTTTACTTCTTTTTACTACTCTTTAGAAAACCACTATAACATTTTTGTGCTGTTTTGCATTTTGTTGTTTTGAGTTTGTGTCAGAGTTATCAGTCACAATTCTCTGTGGT